ACCCCCCCCCTCGCACATTTTTTCCAACCCACTTTGGCGCCCCCTAAGGTCGGCACCCGGGGACATATGCCCCCCCCCCCCTCGCTACGCCTCTCCTATAAAACCCGAAAGATAGAATAATAATTAGAAAACAGTATAAATAATAGGCAGTATTTAAAATATCCTTGTTTTACCTACAATATTTCACTTTATCCATTCACGCATTTTTTTCCAGTACTTTAAATTAAAAAAAAAATTACAATAGAGTTTCATAACTAAAACCATTGCGCACCTAATGAACGTGATGACGCGTCTATAATAAAGCTGAATAGTTGATTAAAAATTATAAGTAATAAACAGTAGGGCCTACATTCAGTGAATAAAATAAATAAAAGATTGCCTTTTATCAATCCATGCTAATTATAATTTTCTAACAATAATTTCCTCTTACACATCCGAATAATTTGCATTCACATTTTGCTAATTATATTATTGCAGCACTAATTCCTTCTATGACGAACGTATATTTGCATTTACATTTTTTATTAGCGTGAGTTTAATGTATTTTTAAATTACCTCCTTTGTCAAAATTAGAAAAGAGTTAAATTAATTTGATTTTTCTACCGTACTGTTATTATGTTATTAAAATGTATCCACTTTTTCTGGGAACCTAAACGAAAATGATATTTGACATTAATCTTTTTATACGTTTTAGCAGTTTGCGTGTATTTAATATTTTCTTGACGTTATGCGAAAGAGTAAAAACCGTGGCAATTATAAAATAGCTCTATGCCGCTATATAAACAAACCCTACTCTAATACTTATAATAAGACACTGCGGTGCACTGAAAAGCACAGCATGGTGCGAATGTTTACTTTTATGGTTCCAAAATCTATAGCGATGACGGAAGGAAGGACTGACACACTACCAGCAGCGTTATATTATAGATTTTTTTTTGTTTAGATTGATACAATTTTTGTTTTGTCGGCCTACATTGTGTGTTTTTTCCTATTTCTTTGGAGTGCTACTTTCAATTTATTTTACATCATAGCGAAGTAATGACATACATCTAGTAATTATATATATATATATATATATATATATATATATATATATATATATATATATATATATATATATATATATATATATAATTATATATATATATAACTAGCCGTCCCGGCCAGGCCCTGCTCTGGCTTCTGTGAAAAACCTTTCTGTTAAAGACCATTACCTGTGTGTTTAGTAATCATCATAAACCCGGCATTGCACACCCAAACCAAAACCAAAACAACAAAACGCAAACATAACGCTAACACAATTGCAAATACAAACGAAAACAAAAACCTAACAACTAACCCAACCACAACCACAAACACCAATACGAACACAAAGAAAAAAACAAACGAAAAAGCAAACGAAAACAAACCAAATCCAAATGCAAAACCAACCACAAACCCAAAGAAAAAAACACAAACGAAAAAACAAACGAAAACAAACCAAATACAAACGCAAAACCAACCACAAACACAAATACAAACACAAACGCAAAGAAAATAAAACACAAACGAAAAAAGAAAGAACAAAAACGAACCAAATCAAAACGCAACCACTAACGCAAACCCAACCTAAACACAAAGAAAACACTAACGCGAACATAAACGCACAGTGCTCAGAGTCTAGCCCGGGGCGGAATCGCCTGTTTCAGCTTAATAAACGACTATAGTACCCCAACTTATTCATAGTCTTTTGCACTCACTTTAATGAGCGTAGGCGCGAAACCGAACACGGGAGGCCCGGGACCCCAAATAGCACCCTGTCTGGGCGCCGGAGGACGCACCATGACGTCACCGCCTGATTGAACTTAGTAAACGACTATAGTACATAACTTATTCATAGTCTTTTGAACTCACGCGAACGTATATACCATAGCGTACACCGGAAGGCCCGGGGCGCCAAATAGCACCCTGTCGGGGTGCCGGAGGACGCCCGGATCTGATTCACTTAAAGACTACAGTAACCTTTCTTACCCATAGTCTATCGCACTGTTAAAAACAAAACTATGCAGCATAGCGCTCACATGATAGCCCAGGGTGCCAAATCGAACCGTGCAAGGGCGCCGGCGGACGCGCCTGTTTCAATTTAGTGAACAAAAATGATAATACTCCAAGCTTATCCGTAAATGGAAAGAAATAAACATATAGGATTTGTAGGACCTGGCTTATTAAATGTTATTGATTTAAAAAAAAAAAAAATATTGAACAGTATGTTCAGTGTATAGAATAAATAAAAGGCAGTGTTAAAAATACCTAACGACATTGCACTTAATCAATCCCCGCTAATTATGTAATTATCTTTTTTTTCTTAACACCAAAAACAAAGTAATAAAATGTAAATTCTTTCTTCTTAAGAATTTTTTTTATTAAAGGGAAGTAACTGTGCAGTTAATACATTTCCGACACAATTTTAGAAATTTTATAAACGTCGATACACTTTTTAAAAATTTTATGTCGCGTTCATAATTGAAAATTATTCTTCTAAGTAAATAGAATGAAAATTGTTTTTAAAGACTTTCAATGGTAATTTTTTGACTCGTAAATTTAGACTATGAGCACGATAAAAAATCTAACACTTAAATCCATAGAAGTGTCAACGACAAACTTTTTTGCCACACGTTACAGAACTGAGCTTTATATATTAGATTATATAATACACGTATTTAGAACGTGTTAAAAATTCGGCGCCTTTTTTGCTCTTTTCGCTCCCCCTACAACGAAAACCTGGATACGCCTCTGCCCCCCCCCTATTCATATTGTATTAAAATTTCAGACTTCCTAAAATGTCGTTATAATTTAGCCTTATACAACCCTTCAAATTACAATATACGTGCATGCCATTTACTTTCAGGAAAAAAATTGCTTTTGTGAAGTTATTGTTCTATTTCTTTAAATGCAAATTTTAGGCTTAGGCCATACTACGCTGTGAGGGTCATGTAAGTTAGTGTGTGAGGACCGCTGTTCTAGCAGACGGCTCTACCTGAGATAATTCACTCCTGCTGGTGGTGTAAGTAAACTATCATACACACACGTCATCTGTGTTGTAAGCAGACGATCATACACACACGCTGTGTTGTAAGCAGACAATCATACACACACGTCATCTGTGTTGTAAGCAGACAATCATACACACACGTCATCTGTGTTGTAAGCAGACAATCATACACACACGCTGTGTTGTAAGCAGACAATCATACACACTGTGTTGTAAGCAGATGATCATACACACACGTCATCTGTGTTGTAAGCAGATGATCATACACACACGTCATCTGTGTTGTAAGCAGATGATCATACACACACGTCATCTGTGTTGTAAGCAGATGATCATACACACACGTCATCTGTGTTGTAAGCAGATGATCATACACACACGTCATCTGAGTTGTAAGCAGATGATCATACACACACGTCATCTGTGTTGTAAGCAGATGATCATACACACACGTCATCAGTGTTGTAAGCAGACAATCATAAACACATGTCATCTGTGTTGTAAGCAGATGATCATACACACACGTCATCTGTGTTGTAAGCAGACGATCATACACACACGTCATCTGTGTTGTAAGCAGACAATCACACACAAGTCATCTATGTTGTAAGCAGACGATCATACACACACGTCATCTGTGTTGTAAGCAGACGATCATACACACACGTCATCTGTGTCGTAAGCAGATGATCATACACACACGTCATCTGTGTTGTAAGCAGACGATCATACACACACGTCATCTGTGTTGTAAGCAGACGATCATACACACACGTCATCTGTGTTGTAAGCAGATGATCATACACACACGTCATCTGTGTTGTAAGCAGACGATCATACACACACGTCATCTGTGTTGTAAGCAGACGATCATACACACACGTCATCTACCCCAGCTGGTGGTGTAAGCAGACGATCATCATCATCACTCCTTTGTGGCCCCTGGGGAGCAAAGGGCTGCAACCACACATCATACACATGTCGAAAAGTGGTCTTAATTGTAAAAGCCATCCACCAAAACATCATAACACTATATTTGAACATCTTCGAAAGAGGCCTTCATTAAACTCTTGTATGGACACCTAAATAATAAAGCGGCCTCCATTTAACTTATATTTGTACACTTAATAAAGCGGCCTTCATTAAACTCGTGTTAGGAGACCTAATAAATGTCTGTACACCTAATAAAGCGGCCTCCATCTAACTCATGTTTGTACACCTAATAAAGCGGCCTCCATCTAACGAAGCAATCAGCACTAAATATTTCAGACAGCACGCAACACACGACAACCCTCAGCACAGACCAGGTAAAGAAATGGATGCACGTGCCAGAACTGCTCACACCGACCTGAGCACATACTGCACACAGGACTTCACTTTTCACTAGATTGCAAGGTGTGTGTGTGTGAGGGGGGGGGGTACAGATAAACAGCCAACGGTGATTTTTTTGGTGTACACTTAACTCACAGCTGTCCACTTCATTCAAGTACTTTCCCAGCTAATAGCACAAAAACAAACTGATATCAATATTTTGGACGGATGTCTACAGGTTTCATGCCAAGATAGATGGCTGACAACTAGGGTCCATGAGTTACTGGTTCAAAGACTTATATGTATTAGTGGAGTGTGTGGTCATCAGATCCTATGGTACATGTTATCAGGTGTCATGGTAGATGTCAAGTGGTCATCTGATCACTAGGTACATGTCATGTGGTCATCTGATCACTAGGTACATGACATGTGGTCATCAGATCACTAGGTACATGTCATATGGTCATCTCATCACTAGGTACATGTCATGTGGTCATCAGATCACTAGGTACATGTCATGTGATCAAGAGATTACTTGGTATATGTCATGGGGTCATTAGTGCACATATGATAAAATGCCACCATATAGCATTTAAATTAATATGCCACTAGATAAGCACAAAAGTGAACAACATATGCAATAACACATAACACCTTTACAGTTCAATTTATTTGCATTAAGTCCCACATATTGGAGCAACCCCACTTATTAAAAAATAAATGCATCAATCCAATGTTACAAATAAATAAAGTTGTAGCTTATGAGCAGATTAAGCTTGTATTACAAATGCATCCACTTATATTTACAAACGCATCAACACTGTTTCTTTCATTCAATTTGATTAATGGTAGTTTGAAAGTTCTTGTTTAAAACCACATAATGTAACACAGGCATTTAAAAACCACAATGTAATAGAAGCTTGAAAAAACCACTGGATAACCACCTACTGTAACTACACAAGAAACCAGTTTCATATTCAAGGAATTGATTCTTTTATTCCAGTCCTTATTTTAACTTTACCCCAAGAGCCGTTGGTGTCTGGGTACAGTGTAGTCACAAAAGCTGGGCTAGCAGGCCCTGACTAAACATACACCCAAATGGACAGTTGTTCTGACCGCAACTGGTCTAAATATCACAACAAGCTGCTAGAGTTACATCACTGTAGGCCAGTCAGCTTCTCAGCTGGCTCATACTTCCAGTTATCATCCTGTAAACTGGCACTTAGCTCTCTCAGCTCCTTCAGCCTCTGTATGTGCAGGTCTGCAAATTTTAAATTTAACTACTTGAAACTGTTCTTATGACAGTATCAACAAACAAAAAAACTTCTTAATTTCTAAACTATAGGACCAGTCAAAAAATTTCAAACAAATAAAAAAATGTCAATGATATAGGGTATATTTTTTAAAATTAAAAACAGATAAAAGGTGGAGAGCTATGACATGACATACCTTTTTTAATATAATACAAATTCATATCAATGTCTTGTTCCAGCTGAACCTTGTAGATGAGAGACATGGATGGAATAATTTCTGAAATTTAGAATTGGTTCTAGTTCATTAGGGGAAACTAAATACTGATTTCAGAAAAACAAAATAATTTCTGAAATTTGGAATTGGTTCTAGTTCATAAGGGGAAACTAAATACTGCTAGCAGAAAAACAAAAACATTTTAATATAATGATTATGGAAAAACTGGCTAACTTAGATCAGTTTATAAAAACTCGCCAACTTAAAGCGGATCAGTTCGTAATAACTGGCCAACATAAATAGGATCATATTAGAAAAATGAGCCAACTAAAAATTGAATCTATTACCCTGGCAATTTTCATTTTTTAGCTCTAACTAGTCTAACATATGGCCAGGCAACTTGAAAGAGAGAGTGCTTGCACGCCAGCGATTAATTAAAAGTTTCTTAAACACATTTGGCACCATTCCAAACAAATTCTCCACACAAAATAAGAGATCAGGGGTTTCATGTTTGTAATTTCAAAATCTTTTGGCATTCATTGAGCTTCTAGATTCACCAATATCAATTACCAAACCTCAGCTAATGATGATTTACACATTTTTTTCATCTATATTATTTCTTAAGTTTTACCTTATTTTTTTCAATACAAATCTTTGGAATCAGTATAATGGAGATTAACAAAGTAATGATGAAAAAAAATTATTTATGGCTAAATTCTTTTATTTTCTTTAAGGAAAGCAAAGCAAAAACTCAATTGACTTGTCACAATAATATTTTTACCTTTTTGCAGATTTAACTTACTATCTTAGTAGTCATTTTATGGTTAATTAAGTGTATTCCCCATTAAATTTAAAGTTTAGTTTTGTCTTTATACCATACCAGTTCATATAATTCAAGGGAAACAATTCTACTTTTTAATTACGCTGAAATTATTCAGACCTAGGTCCATATAGACAGGAGCACTATTAAGACCCAGCATTAAGTTTGCTCTATTTATTACTTTTGATTACACATTAGCTGTATTAAATAGTATACCTTTTATTTTTTTGTGACTTTTTTCTAGCGGATTAGCTAGTATGAGCTGATACGCGCTATTTAGTTGTTTTATTTTCTATTTTTGAGTAATTCATAATTTGCTTTAGAACACTATCAGTAGCTCATGAAGGACAATTATTCTCACTATCACTCTCTCCAACCCCACCCACAAACTCAGTCAAAGCAGCCGTCCACGACGACAGTTTACAGATGACAATGAAAAGATCTATCAGAACTTTTTATTACCACCCCTTAGTTTCAAATAGTTTAAAAACTAAATTATCTGCCCCTAATAGCCATAACTAATTCAACCAAGCCCTATGATTGCAAACATTGGGCGTGAACCACAGCTCACCAGACTGATGGGGTGGGGGTGGTAGCAATATGTCTAGAGAGCGGACAGTTCAGTGTGCTAACATGGTGTCCCGCATGGTCGCTCCATGAAAAGAATTATATATATAGATGTTGGGGAAAAACCTAAAATAACATCAGAAATAATTCCAGAATGGTGTAACAGACTGTAAGCCATTGTTTATTCAGCTCTATCTAGTTTTCAAATCAATACATGTGCATTATTAGCAAAGAGACAATGAAAGCCTTATTTTAGTAATATATTTGGTATAGTATATTGTTTATGGTTAGTTGTTTATTTGGGAATTTTTATTTTTATTTTAAAGTTTAAGTAAACTTCATTTTATTTTTTTTTTAATTACCAATAAAAGCTGACAGACCTTGAGCGCTGATTTCATTTTACCAGAATATACGACATGACCCAACACACAAATTAAGCATCTTCTTAGAAATAAGAGATAATTTAACTCTGACTGTACATTTTTTTATGTTGGAATAAACTTAAAACCATTACTTAAACATGTTTACAAATATGAAGTACCAATGTCTTGCAATAATTACATTCTGCTATACTGTTCTGGAATAATTACTGATGCACTATCAGGATTTTACCTTAAATTGTTTTTTTTTTAATTAAAATTAATAGATAGATCCCAAAATATGATGGTTAGACTTTGGTTCTGACCTTGTTATTGATTAGCTGTCGCATACTATTTGCAAATATGTAATAATTTTGTGTTTGAGTTAGGGATTTTAATTAGTACCAAAAAAACACTATCAAATCCAAATGAAAAAGTCAAAATAACATATATATGATAAAAGGTATAAATTTAAATAAAGGTTATCTGTGACTTCAAATTTTAAAAAAAATTTTAAGATGATTTGAATCATATCTAAAATATTGTAATAAAATAAACACAAAAATCCATAGAAATCATCAAGCTTCCGTAATTGATATACTATGATCAGCATACTAATTTTGTTCAGGAACTTTTTCTGCATTTTTTTTTGCCGTGAAATAACTTACACAGGTTTTTTTAAAATGAACTATATAAGTCCCTAAATTAGTTTGGATCTTAATTTATGTTTTTTTATTTTATAACGGATATGCTTTGCAATGGAAAAGCTTAAATTAGGGAATAATGTAGGCTGATTGAAGATTCTAGATGAAACAAAATATGCATGTTCAGTGAACTGCACATGTGAACGATTAGAATACAATACAATGAATTCTTGTCATTTAATGTTTGTTGTTTATGTGTTATACCGCGTTTACACTTACGACAATGTATACTATACATTTCTGGAACACAAAGCCCGCCAAAATAAAATTTGTCTTGAAACAATTTGTTCACAGAACATGTATACTTTAGCGTTCACACTAGAACATTGTTATAGAACAGTTTATAAAACGAGCATGACCTTTGACCCGGAGCGTCTGCTATATAGGCCCGGATAATTAAATAAAGAGAAATCAAAGTAAAAAAAAAAGATAGTGGGCACACAGTTGTTTTTTTTAAAAAGGAAAATGGTGTACCCACGGTGCTTGCGATTCAACAATGAATGATCTAAAAATTAGAGAACATGCAAGATTTTATAAATTTTATGCCAGCTACTGGAGCTAGACAGTTTTTATAAATATAATGTTGTATAATACCACGGGTCGTTGACATTACCCACCTGTAATTACCCCTCCCTCCCATCCCGCAGTACAATCACCCTTTCCCACCCCAACCCCATGGTAGCCATTTCCCCAGCTTCTTTAATTGCTAGTCTATATCCTTCAGAAACAGCTTCCAATAAACAGGGCTAAATATTTGTTTGCTGAAAGTAAAGGTCTGATTTTCTCCGAAAACTTGCATCTGCCAAGTTCATTAAACGTATCGTGATCGTGTTATCACTATACTGAGTCTATTGTTAAGAATAAAAGTAGATGTAGTTTTTAGAGTAGGGCCTATGACATCCCCCCCAACCCCAATTCGTTTCTTTATGTTAATTATGTCCCATTTTAAACCTAAATAATTAGCCTATGACTTTTTTATCTGCCTGTTTTTATAGTAAGTTGATTATGTGGGATCCCAAGAGCACATTCTGGTGGGCATAAAGATTTACTCATGTCAGACGGAAACTGAAAATATGTTGGTCAAGAAAAAATTGGAGATAAATTTGGTTCAATTATATTTTTTAATTAATTAATATTTTCGTAATTAATACCTAAACTGGTTTTAAGGCAAAATTATAATGCCTTAGATATTATTTCATTAAAACGTGTTTGGAATTTAATTAAAGAAATAAAAAGAAATGATAAAAATGTCAATTTTAGCAGGGCCTAGAGAAATTACAAATTATGAAATCGTGTGTTTAAAAACTCAAAATCATTATAGAATCTATATTTAATTTTGCAATCAGCTGAGGCATATGATGCGCTTACTACTTTTGACGCATGCGCACTCATCTGAAAATTCAGAACATGTCCAATGTTTTCGCTCAGCGAGCGATGACAAAAACTTGACCCAGAACACAAAAAGGGGCGTGGTTTTGTGCCCTGCGACTCAGAAGATGTTCCATATACTCGTAACATGTTTAGTATACACTTTAGTAGGTCAAGTCTAGTAACATTGTCGTAAGTGTAAACGCGGTGTTAGACTGTTAGGCTAAAATCAGCTGAAGAATATGGTTGGGTCAAAGTAACTGGTTATTTTATCATATCAGTAATTAGCATAGCTCAAGTTTCCAATTATAGTTTTAATAAATTTAACAAAAAATAAGCACAGGTCTCAATGGGACAGAGATTAACACAAACTAATTTATATGGGGGGCACATACTGCGAAGGCTCACCAAAATGTGACATGCCAGTCGCTTGAGTGGAACCCCTAGGGGAAGTTGAAGAGAGGGCGCCCAAGACAGACCTGGAGGCCAAGTCTTCTTGAATAACTGAAGCCAACAGGGATGTTTTAGGAGATTGCAAAATTAATAGCTGGGGATCGGACAAAATTGAAGGAAATGATGGAGGTCCTATTTTCTATAAGGAGAACAAGGACTAAGTCAAGTAAGTCAATTAACAGGTATTAACACTAACTAATTAACAGTTATTAACACTTAGTCTTAAAAACTAGGACTAGGTCGAGGAGACATCTAAATCTCTCTAATCCTCAAGTCAGATTCAACTTAACATTAAAATTTTATGTTATTAGATCTAAATATTATATTCCGTTTTTAAAAAGGTTATACTTTTACTTACAAATTATCTATAGACTTACTAGGTCAAGATTCTTAAATTGTTATGTTTTTAATATGAATCACCTTATACTTAATCTTTAAAGAGCTAACTGTTGACTGGCCATATTAATTTTTATTACAATGATATTTTGCTATTTGCTGCTATTTATTTAGTTATTTAGCTTTTTTTTATCTAGATCTAGATCTAGCAAGTTTAATCAACTATCTGCGAACACACACATAGGTCTAGCAAAAAAATCAGAAGTCCCCATTTCAATTGACATAGAAAAAAAAGTACCATAATACTCTGCAATTCTACTGTAATAATATATGTTTAATTCTGTATTCATATGCATAGAATTTGAGATATTATTGTTTTTTGTAACTTTACATGCTTGTAAAATAATTCTAGATCTAGATCTATCTAGATCTATGTGGTTTTGGGTAAGTAATGCTAATGAAGTTTCTAAGAGCCAAAAACCAACTAGTGTTTGCTGCAATGTAGGTTCGAAAATGTAGGTTACTTAAGACTTTACAATATTAGTTTACATAAAAATCTAGATCTTTATTGAATTTTTAAGCCTTGGATTTGTAATGATTTTAATTTTAGACTAAAAATACTCAAATTTTTAGTTTTAGAGTTTTAGGGAATTTTTTTCCATTTTTTTCCTCAACACTTTAAATAGTGTAAAAATTTATATTGGTTGTACTTTCCAATGGAATATGTCAAATGATAGGTAAAATCACGATATGGTGTCGGTTATTATTCCGGAATTGTACAGCAGTAAAAAACAATAAAACCATGGCGTAGTCTGTCGAGCCATTCCGGAAACCACCAGTAACACCGTAAACCTTTATTTGCCGCCATATCATTTTTAATTGATTATGTTTAAAAATGTGCATGGATTGATTTTAGCTGCATTTTAAATACTGTTTTGCTAATTTTTTCGTATTTCTAATTTTTTCAGTGTATGTGCTAATTATTGCTGCTACTAAACACTTGTTCTAATTTTTCTTACTACTTTTAAATTTAGTAAATCTATTTGTCTTAATTTACTAGATCTAGATCAGACTAGAATGAGTAGATCTAGTTGTCGCAAATCTTCTGCAAGTTTTTTTTTGTATTTCTTAAAAAAACATTAAAAACCACACTCGAGTTTATTAATAATTGTTGCTATTTTTTTGTCAATTAAACTTTAAATTAAGTTAAAACATTAATTTAATGCACTTGACTTTATTTTTATTTGAACGGTCAATTAAACTATGGTTTACAGTAACAAATGTTACCGAAACTCAACAAGCATTACCAGATAATTTCCTACGCTATATCAAGGGATTACCAAATGATAAAATAATTATAACTTAATTTAAAATACAAAGTGACTACTCGGAAGAAGATTTTTCTCTCCAACGTCTCCACTTAGTCGGCAAAAGATAGCTCTGCGCATGCGCAGTGACCTATGGCTACGGTTAGGGCTAGAATTAGGGTTAGGGATAGGATTAGGTCTAGGGTTAGGGATAGGTCATAGGGTTAGGGATAGGATTAATTACTAGTTAGGGTTAGGGATAGGATCAGAGTTTCTTCCAGGCATCTCTCCGGGGGGGGGGGGGCAAAGCCCCCCCGAAAAAATTTTACCGCCCCCCCCCCCCCCCGAACGAAATTTATATAATTTATATAGAAAATATATACTTTTAACAGTGTCCGCCCCCCGAAGAAAGTTTACCGCCCCCCCCCCCCCCCGAAGATTTCAAGTGCCCCCCCCCCCCCCGGAGAAAAAAGTCTGGAAGAAACACTGGATAGGATTAGGGATAGGGTTAGGATTAGAATTACTATTAGGGATAGGGTTACCGGGTTAGGGATAGGATTAGGATTAGGGTTGGTATTAGGGTTCTGCGGTTGTAAACACACACATGCGCAGTACCATCAAAAACATTGCCGCAATGGCAAGTCGTAGTTTCTCTCCATTGCGCATGCGTATCTTTTTCCGGCTAGCATCGGCCTTTAAAATATACTGCGAGACATCAGACACTGGACATAGACAGGCTATGACACAACTCAATGCAGTGAATGCACTCTCACTCAGACTCAATAGTACTCCATAGTTACTATAAAATATAAATCATAGTTAGATCTAGTAGTCAGTCTAGTATAGGCCGTTCGAATTCACAGCTTCCGGGTTTGTTGTTTTGAAGCCATCTCACGGCTCATGCGCTTACCAAAAATGGCGGCCAGTTTCGCTTTCACTAATGGGTAGAGGGATAAAACTAATGATTACGAAGCCATCGTTAATTTTAGACATCGGAACTATCCGTTTCTATTTAAGTCTGTTGTTTAAGAATTGTCGGATCTACTTTTGGCCTAATTTCTTTGTTTGTATTTAACGAGGCCGTCGAGAGAAAGTCACGCTTATTTAGCTTGCGTTTCAAGTCGAATTAACTAAAGCAGGTGCGCTCGACAATAACTTTTTTATTTTTTACAATTTTTATAACATCTTTACTATCAAATAAAAATTGAATTGTTTAATGAAATTAGGGTGAAAACAATACATTTGAGGGTGTAAGTGATCACCCCTCAATAATGCCATTTTATTATATTCTTGTTTGGTGAAAACGAGGCGCGGGAAAATGTGTGCCGCGCAAGAATCCAATCATTTGGCTAGATTTATGACTGTTTTTTATGTCATACCTAAAAATAGAATGTTTACGCTTTCTTCGTTGATGATCGTTTTTATTATTTTTTAAATTGAAAGTATGAATTATTAGTTAGATTACGGATTTTGTAACTTGGTATACTTACCTTTTATCAATTTAAAAAACATAGCATGGTAATTGTGAACAAATATAGTCATAAAACACAGAAATATAAAGTTATAATTGCGATGTGCCACACCCCCTCAAGAAAGCATGTGTTTATTAAGCTGTTTATCTCACTTTACAAAAGTAATTAAAATTAATTTTCAAATTTTTATCACTTATTGGGTAAGATTAAGCACATGTTTACCAAAAATAAAAATAAAACAAAAGCAAATTCTGTTTTAATGAAGGTCACGGGTGAAGTTTTTTTTTCCTTCTGTCACGTTCAGTGGAGGGTGCCACAGGCTGACCTGACTTTGGAATTTTTTTCAGTAATAATGACTTTGCACAGAAAGTTAAAATATGCTAAATTAGCTTAGTTTACTAGTGTTCTAGCTATTATTGATACATTTTTAATAAAAAAATCATTCTGTAATTCTCATCAAACAGCCTAGTCTAGTACCTGGTCCTGCTGCTGCTTTTGAGCTCTCTGGTACAGGAGAAGGCGATTGAAATAAAGCTTTTTTAAAATTTATGTTTCCAATAATTGATGAAGCAGCTTCATAGCGTGCCATAACAGATGCTAGTTTGATTTGAAATTGAATGTAATATTACAAATACAAAAGGGTCGTGGATCTAACAGTCTCTAAAAAATAAAGACACATCCCCCATTTGTTTATGTACCAACTTTAGTTCAGCTGTTTATGTCTTCCTCCACTTTAAAGGATTTCTCTTTCCGGGTGGGTTGTTAAAAATTGTGGACTAAATTCTCAATCCTAGGCTGAGTAGGTATATCTTTCTTATGCACCAAACAAACATAGACAAGAGAAGAGATATACTGATATAGGTTCTAGATCTAGACTAGAAATCTAAATCTAGTTTGATCTAGAATCGGTAAAATCTTAGTTTAGCGTCGTAAATTCCAACGTAGCTAGTAATGTGCGATGAAGGTAACTAATGAATATTTCTTTCATTTGGCCATATTTATGTCATATTTTACATAATATAACAGATAATTGAATAACAAATCACAATCCAAGACCAAACCAGTCATAAATATCCTGGAATAAACTTTAAACTACCCCGTTCGAGACAACAATGAGTAAATTCAAGCAGCGGCCATGTTTCAAAAACAATAAATTGTCTATTCGCATGTCTTTTGTGTTGATTTTGTGGTTTAATATGATTGCTTTGTATTGTTTTAATATTAATACATGCCTGGGGGTCGTCCATAAATGACGTCACACTCGTAGTGGGGAGGGGGGTTCACATGGTGTGACGAATTTTAGACGTTATTTTGCGTTTTAGATAACTGTTTTAATACATTGTAATAACAATTGATTAAAATACTCTATTTTGACAGAGTTCAGACAAGATTTTGGAAAAATATAGCTGTTTAAAAACAATTCAACTGCAATTTTGAGGGGTTGTAGGCTGAGGTGTGACGTCACTTTAGGGGGGTGGGGGGTCTGGCTTTTTGTGACGACGTGTGGGGGAGGGGGGGGGGGAAATCGTCAAAAAAGCGTGACGTCATTTATGGATGACCCCCCTGTATAGTAATTTTTCTTTTTTTAATATAGTTGACATGAATGACTAATAGACCTTATCAGACTTAATAGTGTGCATCCAAGACCACAACAATTGTTGGGAGGTTGAACTTTTGAACACTTTATTTGCAGTAAGCAAATCAATTATTTTAGATCGCTCATAAATGACGTCGCTCTTAAGATAGTAATGACAGCGTGCATTATTACAGAGCAAACATGAACATATTGTTTCAGATAGAAATTGTGATTTGTGGTGGGGAGAGGTTGAGTAGAACTCAGCGATGTGATTTTGGAGACGGGTCAGGTTTTTTTTTTCGTGAAAACGGGATGGTTGTGGGAGAAAGACCAGCTGTAGAAGTATGACGCGTCATTCATTGGTGATCCATTTTCTCAGTGGGGACGAAAGAACTATTAAGAAGGGTCAAGAAATGTAAAAAGCTTGCTGAGTCGCATTTCTTGAACCCTACCTTTTTCATTCCCCCACTTAGCACATCGTCACCGAGTTAACGCTCGCACGTGACGTCATGTAGCGGTACCGCCGACCGTTAAGCTAATTTTATAGAAAAAAAAAAACAACAAGCACTGCCTTTTTGACGCTTTTGCGACGTTTAATTTGATTACATAAGTTGGTGTTCATTAAACAGCCCCTAACACATCTATCACTCGTCCATTTAAACGTACGTAGTTATTTCTGCAAGCTTGCTGTCTTGAGACTTTCGGCCCTTTAAAAATGTATTAAGCTCACACCGTATAGAACTAGACTACCCATATTAAGCTCCAAAAGAAGCTTGGTGAAAACAGGATGGCCGTCCGATTTTGTAGCTGCTCCGCGCTTTATAAAAAGCACAATAAACGATAAGATGACACTTATATTAAAGTAAATTATAGTTCTGAATCTTGATACATTAAAAGTGATATTCGGAAATTATGAGCCAGACAGTCAACATGATATTTCAATTTAAGTCCAAGAAAATAAATTTCCTCAAACGATGGAACATAACTAAATTTTTGCGCAGTTTAGCGAAATTGAATTTAAGTATTTACGTCATCTTACAAAGCGCGATAGCCTACTGGTGCTCTAACGCGGCCCATGCTAATGGCCGTATTCCTAACGCCCCGCATTAGACGCGGCTTATTCGTCAGCAGGCATTTGGTGGCAAGCCTTTTTGACGGGGATAATGTGTTAAGTTAAGGCCGTTTTGCCAAATGTCTTAAACTGGCAGGCTTGCAACATTTATGATAATTCGTTTTAAGCAAGGTATACGTATACTAATGCTTATTTATCGTTATTTTGATTGAACAAAGCATTATAGAGGTTCTCCATCAACCACATAGGTATTTTTCCCCGTTCACCTCCTTTCATGAGACCGACACGTCATAAATTGCAAAGCCACCTGAGTTGACGTCACAAATCTTCACTCACTCCCGTAGCAAATCATATGTGACATCATTTATGGACAACCCCATATCACTCACTTGGGTACTTGATATTGACAATTTGACAACAAAGGATAACCAAAATCTGTCTGGCAGGTGGAGACTTGCGATCGACCATAATGACAACACGCACTTAAGGGGTGGAGTGGCTGATTATTTTAGATGATGTTTTACGAGGGAAGCTGGTGGATAATACATTTTGTCTCTCTGTATATATAAATGATGACAAACATTTATTGTTGTCAAAATTATGGCTAGAGATCTTAGATAAGGCAGAGCGAAGCGTAATTTTTTACATTAGGGGTCATCCATAAATGACGTCACGCTTTTTTGACGATTTTTACCTCCCCCCCCCTCCCCTCCGTCACACGTCGTCAGAAAAAGCCAGACCCCCCCCCTAAAATGACGTCACACCTCAACCTACAACCCCCCTCAAAATTGCAGTTGAATTTTTTTTAAACATCGATATTTTTCCAAAATCTTGTCTAAACTATTACAATTTATTAAAACTTTTTTCTTTTTTTATAATGCAAAAATGTGACGTCGCAACATCTGAACCCCCCCCCCCCCTCCCCCTCATCACACATCGTCACAAAATTACGGACCCCCCCCCCTCCCCCTACGAGTGTGACGTCATTTATGGATGCCCCCTTATGACTTGTTGTGACATTGACAACAAAAATATGACGGAGGTTGGGGTTTAATTAAGGTAAAGAGAAGTAAAAAAAAAATGTCATAAGTTACGATAGAATCACTAGATCTAACTGATGGAAAGAAAAACCTGAAATGAAAATAGTGAACATTCAAACAATAAGAAAAAACTCAAACTATATAGTAATAGTAAGATCAAATAAACATTAGTAAAAAAAAACGTGATTTAAAACATGGATACAAGTTGCATCTCACAATGCTTCTAGAATTAATAAAGTTGTTTCTTAGGACATTCAGTTTTTAAAGAGCAGAATTTTAAAAAATGCTTTGTTATACGGACTATACAACAAGACAATCATATTTAAATACATTTTCATACGAATAGAAATGAAAGGGAAGCTACTCTAAATAACATTTTCTTAAGATGGCTGCTGTTTTTAATAGTAAATTTACTATCTCGAACAGGGTTGATAAAAATTAATTTCAGGATATTTAAATTGATTTAACCATAAATGGTGATCTATTATTCAATTATTTATAATATTTTATCAAAATATACGAAAATATACTCATATTTAATGACATATTCATTATTGCACTCTCTCCTACATTACTAGTTTTGGCCGAATTTACGACGCTAAACTAAGATTTTACCCTAGAATCTATTAAGTAATCTATAGTCACATTGTTGTGGCTGGTAAGTCAAACTTACTAAGATTGATCATTGTTGCCTGTGGTCTTAGGCTTCGTAGTTCGTAGAAAGCGGGGAGGGGGGGGGGGGTATCCGGACTAAGACTAACAACCCTCCATACTATACTCATAACACTCAGAGTAACAACTCACTAAGTATTACTAAGTAACTAAGCAGATCTAGATTTAGATCTAGAATCTAGTAATAATTTAATAATTATAGTAATATATAGAAGTCTATCTATAGTACTCTATACTACTCTATAGTAGTCTATAGGCCTAATAAAATTATTAATTTAATTTGGGCCTAATATTTTTTTAATTACTAAAAAAACAAGTTAATTAAAAAGTCTAGAGACATTTATGCGCAATTTCCTTATGTTATCTAAAAATAGCTCTGATGTATAATGCTGGGGTGCGTTCAAGCTAGGAGAACGATCGGTTTGTATGTGTTATAAGTAATTTTAAAATTTGTGACCGAACGAAAGGATATTTTTGAAAACTTTCTTCCGAAATATTGTTCTAAATTATGGCAGGAATCGATTGGTAAATGTTTCAAGTCGCTAAGTGGTCTGGTTGCCGAGATATGGGCCAAAAACTGCATTTTTTTTAGGTTTTTTAGCTTTTCCGCGAAATCCAGGAAGGAATTCCGGAATTTTTTTGGCCCACTATCATCCTCGTAACTTGCTTAACAAATTTGCTTTCGGAACTAGTCCTCGATATTGCTTCGTTGAGGAGGAGATACGACTTAAAGCTGCGAACACACATCCATACATTCATACATCCAGAAATGACGGGTTAATAAACGCAATTCTCCAGAATGGAAATTGCGCTAAAAAGTAACTATAACCATAGCCTAAATATAACTATTAATATTAACTATTAATTAATAACTAGGCCTAGATCTAGTAAATTTAGTAAATACATTAGGCCTATGACAAGCTTATCTCACTGACTGTAAATTACAACGTAATTCTAACAACCAAGCTTACAACTACACTATAAAGATCTAGATTCCAGATATCTAGGGGCCTAGCTTAGTTTAGTATAGGCCTACTGTACTAATAATATAAGTAATAGATTTTTAGATTAAAAACTACATTTTATTTTTTAAAATAAACAATAAGTTGAATAAGTAGATTGTAAATCAACCTAGGTCCTAGGAGGACTTACATTTGCCAATAGTTTGAATAGGCCTAATAAATATAATAAATAAATAAAAAACGTACCTAGTCTATTTAATACACAATTTGATTAGAATGCATTGTAAGATTCTAAAAGAATATGAGCCTTAGTTATTTTTGTGTCTGAAAATAGAATAGAGGCATTGAATTATTTTTTTCATTTATGTGCATTCATAAGTTAAATAAAATGGTAGGGGCCTAATGCTCATGCAGAGTTACTATTATGGTTTGATAATATTTGCAGGTTTTTGAATATGACAGCAGGCAAGAATTCCTGAGCAATAAAAATTTAATTTGCTAAATTTCTTTAAAAGATAACTTTTTAAAAAAACATGGGCTTTGAGAGAGTTGGAACCTGGAGACAATTCTTACATTGGGGCCCAATTCTGGCCCTGTCTGTGATCTTCACAATCAGCCTGGTGGCCATCAGGTGTCATGTGATGTGGTGGCCCCCGCTCATGAGCCTCGGAGCTTTTGTTAACTTCTCCTGTTTCTTGTCATGGGTGGCTCTCACTCTACACAACTATTTTTCTGCCTGTATTAAAGGACCTGGCTTTGTCCCCATCATGTGGAAACCAGTAGGTTTTTTTTATGTATTACATTTTTATACTTTAATTTACATGTTGATGTATTATGTACAACTTTTACATATATTTATATTCTATTAACATCAAATGACATTTAAAGATACAAGTTGTCTTTTTTTATGTCCTTTGATGTAGCCTTTGATGTGTCCTTTGATATAGAGCATACTAATTTAAATGTTGCTAGTTTGTTTATTATTATGTTACATTTTTCCTGATAATATTTTTTAAAGAAAATGTGAAAACACTAATTTTTAAGCATACTTAAAATTGTATGTTACTTTATTTGCTTATTAAGATATAGCAAATTCATTAGTGAAACCAAATTTCTTATGACAATATTGATTCCAGAAAAATCCACAACATGAACAGTTCCTCCAATACTGTGAAGCTTGTCAGGGCTACAAAGCTCCTAGGTCCCATCACTGTCGAAAATGTGGCAGGTAGGATTCATCTTGATGTGATTGTCAACAACAGTAATGAATATTTATCAGTATGCAGTACAATTGTTTCTTTTATATCAATTATCAATTTTTATTGGCAGGTGTGTAATGAAAATGGACCATCACTGCCCATGGATAAATACATGTTGTGGTCACTTGAACCATGCCAATTTTTGTTGGTTTCTATTATTTGCCCCAATAGGCTGCTTGCATGCTCTCTTTATCCTCATCCCTTCTATTTATAGAGCACTAAACTTTGTAAGTTGATCCTGTGTATATTGGTGTGTTTGTGTTTGCTCAGAATTTTTGCATATTTTCAAATGTCAAGAGTAGAACAATACTGTCATTATTGTACTTGGAGGTTTAAAAACCTCAAATAGATTGATATGACAGATGTTTTATTAAGAACTTTAAAATAAAATCCAAACTAAAATTGAATCTATTGCTTTGATTTTGTAGCTTAATCTGATGTAGCACAGTAGTAAAAACATAAAAATATTCCTGCTTTTCATTGAATATTTGAATTTCTAAATTTATGAACAATCACAAAGATTATGTCATTGTAAATGTTTGATTATTTAATTCCCACTCATTGAATGTCATGATGTTGTGAATCTTGTTTCAGCATTATTATTTTCATGCCCGCCCTAATGATCCTCTGGTTTACCTTGGTGTGTGGGGTTTTGTTGTCACCATGTTTGCCATTGGGCTGGCCATTGGAGTCATCATTGCTGTGGGAATGCTGTTCTACATACAGGTTACCATTTCTTAAATCTTATTACTTTTAATTAAGAGTTTAATTTTCTTCTGGTCTTTATTTCCATAATATTATATTGTTTTTAACCAAACATAAATGAAATTTTAAAGCATGAAGTAGGACTCACAAACTACTATAACTTTTTTTTTTACAATTTTTGATATAAAATGATTTTTTTTAGGAAATTTAGTTTTTGTTTAAATTCTTTAAAATTTTTGTATTCACCTTTATTATACTTTCATGGGAAAGGTTACTTATGCTAGATCACTGGTTAAGATATATAATTTCTATATAAACTAAATTATATAATTTTTGTATTTTGTCAGGGGGTGGCAATGTTAAAAAAACTCACCTTGTTAATATCCAACAGGCTGGGGGTCAATTTTTATTTTGTCATACAAATTTGTTAATCCACCACATAACGTACAGTTATAGAAGTGATTTTGTTTGCTTTTGTGATATTTATTCATTGGTTGTTGCCATTTTGTTAATTAAAGTTTACATTGATCAAAATTTTCACTCAGTTAATAATAGTTTTATCTAAAACTTTTTAAAAATTTCAGATACGAAGTGTCTTAAAAAATGAGACCGGCATTGAATCCTGGATAATAGACAAGGTTGTATTTTTAAAATAACATTGCATTAAATATTGTCTATCAATATTTTAATTGATAAACAAAAATACTAATTGTACAATTAATATTTTTTTAACCAGGCTCTGGATAGGGACAGAGAAGAAGAGGAAGGGGAGTTTATCTACCCATACAACCTGGGCTGGAAGGAAAACTTGAGACAGGTGTTTACCTGGACTGGTAGACCCAAGTCAAATGGGATCAGGTGGGATGTGGCTCACGGCTGCCATCAGTTCTCTCTGACAGTAAGTCCTTGGCCTAGTGCTGACCCACAGGCAGGCATTTCCCTCTGTACTCTTCCTTTCACTAAACCTGTCTATGCATAGAGCTACTATAAATTATAAGTATAACAATACTCACAACTACCCTTATTGCATTATATGTAAACCATCTATATGATTGGTTAGCTATTCTATTATGATAATTTTGCCATTTTTAATTTTGTTGTTGCAAAATTAGATTTTCATACAGTATTTTTATCTTTGCTTTTGATTAATCATTTAAAAAATTGTATTTGACTTTCATAAAGCAAATATAATTAGACTAAAGTATTTTTCAAGTTTGCAAGTCAGGTTTTAGTTCTGTCTATTAATTTCAGTTCACTATTGATTACACTGTTGATTTTGTTTCCTAGATGGAGCAAGTGATGCAGAAAAGAGAAAAAAGGGAGAGAACTATAGAGTACATGATAACAGAGAAATATTCTGGCTCTTTGTTTCCTATAACAAAAGGAGTGAGAACTGGTTGTTGTGTGCCATGCACTGATGAGCCCAGGATCAGTGTAGATATAGGGGACAGAGTTTTAGTCACCAGGTGGAAAAAGTAAGTTGTTTGTTACAGTTTCTGGTTTATAAAACATGTTGGCTTAACCCTTAAAGCGCGCATGGCCACGATCGTGGCTTTGCTATAACAGAACGTATGACGCGTAAGGCCACGATCGTGGTTTCGTGTGTTTGCGGCCGTATTTTTCGTAAATACTCGGCAATTAGACCAGTAACCGTAAATACACGAATACTTCCGCCATTTCCGATTTCAAACATCGTGGTTTAGTGTTTGTACTGTGAAAGCTAAATTTTTTACAAATAAAATTGGACAGCGACTCAAGAGACAGTGAAGGTGACTCAAGAACATAATTGAGACTGATGATGACTTTGATAGCAGCGTTTTAGATGATTTGTATGGTAAGTGTTCGAATTTAATAAATACAAATACTTTCTCTTCAGCTTGGTGATGAATTTTAAAAATAAAGTGAAAGTAGATCTAGTGTCGGGAAAATTATTACATTATTTTATTTTTACTGTAAGGGTGTGGGTGCTTGAAGTGCCACGCCCACCTCTTTAGGTAGATACTGTTTCAAAATTTATGAATGAATATCTAGATCTCTATATTAAATATATCATTTAGGTAAACAAATGTAAATGAAGTCAATATAATTATTAAAAAATAAAATAATAGGCTCTAATTATAAATTTAAACTATTTTTCAGATTCAGAGGACAGGGAATCTCTTACAGCTGATGGACATTGGCAGCCTATTGTTGGAGAGGATTGTGGCCCTAGACCTATCCTGTTTACAGCAAATCCAGGACCCAAGCATAAACCAGCTGCTAATGCTAAGCCTGTTGAATACTTGGATCTGTTTTTATCATCAGAGCTTACCAATGTTATCATAGCTGAGACCAACTGCTACGCTAGCGAGTTCATCGAGAGCAACAAAGAGAAGTTATGACATCATTCCCTGATCAAGAGTCCACAAATTGACTCCACTCACCCTAGCTGAATTTAGGGCCTTTCTTGCTGTGGTCCTGAACATGGGCTTAAATCAAAAGCCCAATTCCAATGCTTATTGGGACTCCTGCCACCATAGCCAAGAAACACCATGGTTCCCTGCACGTTAAAAAAAAAAACTGTATGCACCTGGCTTAACGTCAAACCCTCAAATGGACAAATAAAGTATTCTTCTCTTTGTTAGGTAGAGCTGTGCTAAACAGCTATATCTTATACAAGCTGAACACTTCAGACAAGCCTGTGCTTTTTAGGTGCAATTTTATCATTTCTGTTTTGGAGAGCCTGTCCTCTAAATTCACACCAGAAAAAATTGTTCGTCGCAAACGGACAAGGGAGGAAATATCAACCACCAGAAATGGTGTTGAGTCCCCAGTGCCTTCTGCTTACAGTTATCCACTAGATGGCCATGATTTAGTGAAACTACAAGTGTGCAAAAAAAGACAGTGTGTTGCAGGTCATTCTGCAAGAGTCAGAAGTGGGTGGGAGTGTTCTGGTTGCAATGTTGGACTGTGTCCGGAATGCTTTGCCAAATACCATAGGACCCTATATTTACTACCAGTGTGTGATTTCTTATCAAGGATATAAATGTGCTGGTTTTGGTACTTTGTTTTTTAGATTGTGGTGTTTGTTTTTGAAAATTTATGTGTACTTTATTCAAGGAATTAAAATTATTTGCGAAGGTAAAAAAAATGGTTTGTATTTCATTTTTCTTAAATTTTGACTATTGTGTTTTTCTGTTAATAGTTAATGTGTTTTCATATTCTTTATTATTTAAGCTTTCCATTAATGTATGGGTTCATAGGTCTATAATGTATAGATCACACTTTAAAATGGTAATATTACAAGGGGGTATCAAAATTTGTAAACATTACCATTTTGATCCCATTTTTTAATGCACTTCCTGAATACCAGCTGAGCGCTTTAAGGGTTAAAGTGGCTGTGCTATTGAGTTTATTGAGACTAAGAGGATGTTGTTGTTTTTCTAGGAGGTGGTTGTATGGTTGTAAGATAGCTGCTGAGGTCATTGAAGGTCATACAGGTAAGCAGTTTTCTATTTATAAATTTTATTCAAGTTAAATGCTTAAATAAAAAGCCAGAATTATTTTCTGATAATTGTAGGTGTACTACTGAAAATATTTGACAAGTTTTTTAAAGATTAAAATTGTAAAATCTTAAAATTATTTAATTAGTTTTGCCCAGCAGATGCAACTAATCACCACCATAGCAAGACTCTAGTAAAGTCAGTTTTTAGTAACTCCATTAACCCACCATGTCCTTGGCCTGAAGTCTGCTACAGCAGTTCTCTAGTATAGTCAGTTTTGGTGACCACCTTCCCAACCTCTCTAATAATTATTATTGTAGAAGCTGCTGTTTCAATTGATATTCCATAAATGACTCTTCTACAGTTTTTGTCCTAGTTGCTATATGTATGAAAAAAAAAAGTTTACTATGAATGTAATGTAAATATCCACTATCTCTTTGAACAGTGACAAAACGTTTACGAGGATGGTTCCCTAGAAGCTGTGCAATACAAGTGATTGATGACAATATGAATGATGACAATATGAATGACAAAAAGGATTCTTAGTGTCAGTTATTTATTTTAACAGAACAAATGATAGGATGCATTCCATTATATTTACTTTCATTTTTATTCTTCCATTTTTTTAAAATAAATATGTTTTACTTTATCATCAAAATGTGAAAATCAATTTGAACAATCAAAAGAATATATTTTGTGCTGATTTTTTACACTATTCTTTTATTTACTTAGTTCAGCTCAGTTCACTGTAACATAATGTATTATTAAAAAAAGTTTTTCCTTCATCATAGACCTAAAAAATGAACAATTACATTTTTTTCTTGTTTTAAACAGAGAGTTATGTTACTTTAAAATACGTAGTTACACTAATATTAAAAAAAAAATTTATGATCTGCTCATTGTAATTTATAAAATTCCTTTGAGTCTGTTAAGAATAAAATTTGGAAATCTTTTATTATGAAACATTGTTGCTAAAACAAAATTTAATATTTTTATAATTAAGATGGCTACATCAGATATTGTGTTACTAATCACCACCATAGCAACTCTCTAGTTAAGTCACGAAAGTGAGGATATAATAACAGATGCATGTAAAAAAATTTAGTCTACCAAAATTTAAATTCAGTTTATTTTCTTCATATTCTTCTATACATTTCTGTTTTTTTTTTTAAAAAAGACTGCTGTTTATGAATTCATTTTACTGTATTGTTTTTAAATTTGATAAATGATAACCACTGAGCCTTATTTTGCTGTTCACAATGTCTTGCAAAATCAACTATTCAGTTGTCATATCATTAAACAGTGTTCTCTCTATGATGTGGTGACCTGTGGTCATATGATTAGATGGTGCCCCCATTATGTGACTTCAGTGGTCATAGCATAAGACAGTGCTACCTCTAAAATGTGATGACCAGTGGTCATGTCATTAGATTGTGCTCCCTCTGTGATGTAGTAACTTTGACATAAAAATTTGATTTCTTTTAGCCCTCCAATACACTGAGCAATTTTATTCCAGGCCAGCCAATGAAAGGTGCCTTAATAAACAGGTTGATATCTATAATTTAATTAATTGTCTCATCATTATATTTTTCTAGATTATTTAGGTCAAATTTTGAATTATGAAGTGGGGTGATTTATAATTTACGTGTTTTTTTTATAGCTGTAAATTTAAATATTGAAAAGAAAATGTTTCTGGTGTGAAAGGTTGCCAGGTTGTTTTAAAAAGTTATTCAAAATATGTTTGTGTATTTGGCTGAAAAATTATTATTTGCAATACTGATAGAGATTTTAATTCTTTTTTACAACCTGTTTTTTAAACCTGGTAAATTGTGGAGATCTCCATAGTTTATGCCACATGAACCAATCTGCTTACCTTACAGAACAAATAGATACCAATACATGTGATTTACTGAACAAATTAAGTGTGAATTTCACTGGGAGCAAACTTGACTTAAACAACCAGTGCTTTGATTGCCTATATTGTATTCAAGTGATAATTGCTGTTGTACTTCAATAAAACAATGTCTATGCACTCTGTGTCAAAAAGCTGACATCTAGGAGCATTATTGTAAATAATAAAGGAATATACTTCTCAGAAGATATACATTTTATTTCTGATATAATTTATTGCTAAAATAATAAATATAATTTGCCTTTGTAATTGCTTTTTTATGTAACATTTTGAATATTTTATTTGTTTTATGTGCTTGGAGCTTATTTCTTAAAGTTGAATAAGCTGCTGTAAGAGTATTGAAAAAATGTGAAATTGTTTGTTGGCTAGTAATTTGTGATTGCTTAATACTGATACTAATGTGTGATTTTTGTTTCAAAAGTGAATCATTTACTTAACATTATTTAATTAAATTAATGTGTATGCTTTTGTCAGTTGTCTATTGGTAACTCTTATATCTTATATTTTTTATTTATGTATGAGCTATTTCTAAAAAAAAATGTATAACTAATTTTTTTTTTTCTGAATTAAAATGGAAGCAGGTTCAATGTTCATATTATTAGCCCAACTGGTCTGCATTTTCTAAAGTAAGGTATAATTATGTGGTTATTTTTGGCTGCTGCAAATATCTGAAGTTAAGAATGTATTAGCCACACTTTATGAATTTTTTTAGATTGGATATTGTATAAAGTTGTATTTAAAACCATGAAATATTGATGGTTTGGCTGCTTGTTATTTACCATATGACATAAGTGACATATTTTTTTAAACATTTAACTGTTCAGTTTTTAACAACCATCTCTAAATTCAAGCTTGATCTGTTGGTTTTGTACCTTGTCACACATCATTTTTTTCAATTGCACTTGTGCCTTTTCTAAACACTTGTCAATCAATTGCTAAAACTATTTTTGTGTTTTAAATGGGTAGTAGATATCATTAAAGATATTTTTAATTTAAATACTCTTTCAAACAGTTTAGAAACAAGGAAATAGAAAATTATTCTACTTTACAGCTTAAATTGTTTTTGTAGAAAGAATGTTTTAAGTTTTCCAATGGATATGCCTGATTTCAAATGATGTTTTATAATTTAAATTGCTTTTTTATTAATAAGTGTGTGTTGTCTCTAGCGCTAGCTCATATATTTATTTAACAAACTGCCATTTTGATCAGCTTTTTAGGGTATGCTTGAATTCATTGTATTGTTTAATTTTTACAAAAAAATAAATTTATAATTATCAGCAAAAATGCCTTTGTTCCACTTAATTAGGGATCATGTACAAGTTGTAGTTCCTTTCCCCTAAAGTAACTGATAAATAGGCTATTTGGTTAGTACTACAAAAGTTTGCTAATATTTTATGGAAAATTAACGACTAAATTTAATATAGTGAACTAGAGTGCAAGGTAGAGACCAATTGTACATTATGATGTTGTTTATGCACAAAGAGAGATCACTCTATGTACGTCTTTTTAATAAGTGTGTCAACCACAGCTTACAAGTGACCTTATGATACTGTGACAGGGCAAAAACAGCTTTTAAAAGTTGTTAAAAAAGAAAATTAAAGTTTTGTTTAATTTTTAGTAGCTAATTGGACTTAATAAATCTTTTATGTAAAGAGTAAAACCTTTTTTCAGAGTAAGTACAATAACTCAGAATTTTATTTCACAAAGCATCAAATATAAAAAGTAAACAAATCAATAGACAGCAAATATTTATTGCACAAAAAAAAGACTTGGAATGAACAGATTTTATGCCTCATTTTAAAATAAATGCACAAGGAATGATATTCAAACAAAGGGGTAAAATCAATTTTATAATATGTAAAAAATAAACATTTTAAATTCTTTTTGGTTACAATGGGTTGATTTTCTATGCTGTTACTAAATCTAATATACAAATAAAGTAAAACAGCATCACTTCATTTTAAATAATTATATTTGCCTTTTATCAATAATAAATACTGACATTTAATGTACTTTTTATAAATACTGACATCAAAATTTCTTTCAGTAAGTTTCTCTTAAGAGTACTGTAAAATATTCAATAATAATTCACATAACACATCATTTTATTATTTTAAAAAGTGAAATTATGCTTTATATAGTTAAATCTAGGCAGTATTTCAGATCAAATAAACATTTTTTTACAAAAATAATAGAATGACAAACAAGCACAAAATTAAAGCTAGAAAAAAAAATATATTTTAATTTTAAATTGCTGTTAATTTACATTGATCCTATATTTGATACAGCTCCATTGGGTTGGCTTGTAAACCAAATCAGTTTACTGTTCAGCTTGGCTTGTAAACACAGGAATAATAGACAGAGCACAACAGTTTATTTGATTTCTACATGTCACATGTAGCTAGATCACATGGAGGATTGAACACTTATCCTCTAAACAAGTAAAGAAAAAAATTTCACAACTCAAGATCACAGTGGAGATAATGAAATAAATAAGACAATGTTTAAATTAGTCTGGACTAGAGCTATTCAAGTGTACAAGGGTCTCATTGAATACTGAGGCAGTCCTCAGGAAGAGTACCTTCAAACTAAGTAATATTATACATGGGTGTTCAAAGTATTTTTATGATTAAAAAGTCTGAAATCTTCTGAAGAAATAAAATATTGTACAGATCTAGCCTTCAAATGGCAAACAAATGGAATGAGAAATATCCACAATGTGGTTTGAAGATCAATCTATGGAGAATATACTTCATAGCTTTATTAAGATATTCACTAACCAGTAATTATAAATTATGTTTTTTTTTAATTAGTTCCCAAGCAAATGTTATAAAATGAATCACGTAGTTCCCTAGTTGAGGTTTTATAAACCTATTCCCCCAGCAAGTCCCCTGTTAAAACACCACTCTGAGACCCGTCTCTCTCCTGGCCAATCATCTCATCATCATCCTCTTCCTCCTCCTCTTCATCATCTCCCCCATCGTTAAAATTGTTGGCACTCTCATAAGTAAAGGTGCCCCTGGACAGGTCCACCTCAATAGGAAATACAACAGCACTTTTCATGGCATCGTGGCAGTCAGTGTGGTACTTGGCCATGGCGGTGACAAACTTCTGGAGTTGGAAAACAATGTCCTGGACTGCGTGAGATAAAAATATAAACAGACATTCACTCCAAAGCTTTGAAAACTGTATGATGTATAATATTAAACATGCAGAGAAAAGCATGTCATATAACCATTTTGAAAAAAATTGACTTTGACTTCGGCATGGTCAAATGGTAGAGCATATGACTGCTAACCAGAAAGTCTCGAGTTTGAATCCAGGTTCAGATTCTGTAGAACATCTGAGTACACCCAGCTCTGAACTGATGGGTACCTGACTCAAGTTAAGGAATCTAAAGGCAGCTGAGCAGTGCTGACCACACTATCCTTTCATAGGCTTAAGTCACAGAAACAGGTGAACTCTACTTCACTTTCCCCATTACAAGTAAAATAGATGAAAAACAAATCTAATAATTCACCATGCTTTTGGTCCAGTAGTTCCATTTTGACTAAAACATCTGATCTCATTTTGGCAAATCTTGATCTGGCATCCTGTCTGCATCTCAATATCAACCTACAAACAAATTTTTGAATGAGCACTTATAGCTAGAATTGTATCATATTAAACCTTCTACAATAAACTGAATGGCCATAACATCACAGCATTATTAAGGCTTGTGTGACCGGACCTACCTATACTCATAATTCCCTGTTTCTACTCTATACAAAGGTTCCTGTAGGGCAGCATAGCTGTACTCTTCATCATCCATCTCCTTGACTTTTAAACAGTAAGACTGTCAAGACATTCAAATAATTGAATGAACATCATAAATAAAGCAGTGGATTTATGAGGTGTGCTGGAACAACGTATTCATGAAGTTATAGAAACCGCCTTAACCCTTTGAGCCCGCCAGGCCGGTAAACCGGCTTCAACATTAGGCATATATGTCCGAAAAGCCGGTTTTCCGGCCCTATGATCTAGCGTCATATTCCTAGCGGCCGGTATATCGTCTAATTAAATATAATTAGCGGAAGACTGACTAAAACTCCCATATGTCTTTTTAGTGGGGGATTATGATTCTAAAAATAGATTTAAGGAAAAGTGAAAGTGTTTACATTTCGTAGCAATGCCACTGAAACGAAAAGCTGAGCCACAGCCATCGACATCAACACATACAGTTGGTGCAAAAGATGAAGCAAAAGACCGAAATATCAACAAAAGAAGTAGAATGACTGCATCTCAGGCAATACAACTACTTATTGATTCTGATGAAGAAGATAATATTCCTGGTCTATATTGTAATCATAGTGACGTTGAATTTGAGACTGAACACAGTGGCATTGAAATTGACAGTGACAATGAAACTGTTCAAGTACGTTCTGATGCACGTGGTGCTGTAAAACGTCAGTCTCCTTGGCGTGTGGATAATAATTGTGTTGGTTTTATATACATTGTTCTCTTCATACATTGTAAAAAATTAAAGAATTTCAGAATCTTGCTGCATTGTTGTTTGATCCTGAGTCTGGATACCAAATTTGGCTTGATTATCTCAAACGGTTCAAAAGTTATAGGCAAAGTTAGAAGCAGAGAAGTGAACATTGGTTTGCCCTGAGAGCTCAGGAAATGGGAGAAATTAGGCCAGGGAGGCCAGGGCTCAAAGGGTTAATGACAAGAACCTAAAACTACACATTCAATAAATGTCAGGGGAAGTTTTGAAGTCTTTTAAGCAGAGTGTCTTTGACTATAACTATTAGCAAGCATGACTGATTCCCTATGCTAGTGATAAAGGAATATCTATTTGCAAGTTAGATTCTGATTCCTTGCTGTAGTGACATAAGTATTTGTAAAAGGATAATTCTGGCAGTTGACAAAACTGAAAATCTACTAGCAGAGCATTGCTACAGAACAAAACATACCTAAACAGGTCTCCCTGCTACACACTATTTAAACACCTGACAGACTTACCAGGTATTCAAACTTAGTGTCCAGGTATTTCTTGACAGTCAGCCTGGTGTCTGGCACAGCCTTGTGGAGGAAGGTGTTGAGATCACTGATCATGGGCTTGACTGTCTTCAGCATCTTGATGGCAAACTTCTCCATGTTGCGGTGAGCCTCGCCAAACTGGGAGAAGGCTTCACTGGCAGCGGGCTGGGGTTCCCTCACCCCAATCCCACAGAACACCTCACCAAATGCTGGAATGGAAGAATTCTTATTGGGACATAGTGGTAAGGTGAGCTAAGTCAAATGTCTTGAGTTCTAGGTTCAAGTCCACCCATTCATATGGCTGATTGAATACAAACTTGGCTGGGTACTATATTAGTCACATAAATGTTTTATAGACCTTGAGCACAGAAACATGAATTCTACTCCACCTACACAGCTATAATGTATTAACAGTAATTCACTTTTTTAAACATGCTAATGTAATAATATAGGAAAAAATTTAAAGATATTGAATTTTTTTCAATGGATAACAGTACAACTTCAGTTATAAAACAATTAGCTCTTATAGGGCTTTTAGGAAGAAAACATTTTTTTTTCATCGCCAGTCCGGTGTACCAAAACTGTTGTAAAGTAAAAATATTTTTTTTACTTCCTGACCTTTATGGGACTGAGACAGATCAAATATGGCTTTAAGCAGTCTGCGAGTCTGTATAATCAAGCCACTGTACATAGTAGCTGTTCTCTCCATCTCTTCCAACTTCTTCAACAAACCATCTAAAAAATCGGATTGGAAAAGTTTTTTTATAACTTGTAAACAAGTAAAAAAAAAACATCTGAATTAAGAAATGAAAAATATTAAACACAAAATAAACTCGAGAGCAATTTAGCAATGTTAAGAAAACAAAAACAAAATTAGTCAACATTTATTTCAATTGTAATGTACTATCTTTCAACCTGTAATATAAGCTATTACAATGATGAGGAAATGTAAAAAAAACTACAAGATGCAAGTCAACCTTACCATTACATAAGATGGCTCTACTGAGACCCAAAGCATCAGCTGTGTTGGAGTTCATGTTCTCTACCACCCTGTGTTTGACCTTCTTGAGGACTGAAAAAGAAAATAGATTGCTTACACCAACTTACATTACATTTGTTGCAATTTTAAAGAAATATAAAACAAGACCTACTTATGTCTAAGCTTTTCCCTTGCTTTGGATCAGCATGTAGTTTATTATAATTGATTGTGACTTCAGCCTACATAAGAGTAGAAAGTATATCAATAAATATATTTTACAACTGAAATTAAAGTTCTATTACTTTATTTTTTTTTAAATATTATGATGTAATATTACACTGTGTACAGTTTGTATCAATACCTTTATAGACTGGATCATTCTGGCAACTTCCACCTTAGTTCTGCCCTTAACGGACTGACCGTTGACACCAACGATTTCATCACCTGCAGCCAACGAGCCCTCCTTAGCTGCTGGGGTGTTATCAAACACCTGTACAACATACAGACATGGACACAGGGGGGCACCACCACCTATGCTGATACCTATCAAATTCTGGCCATCCTTCTTTAACACGACATGACCAGAGGTCACGGTCATACCCCTGAAACACAACAAAGTTTATGAAATTAAAGAATCACAAGTTAAATGTGTTGATCTAATTAAAAAAATGTGTGGTTTAAAAAACTGTGTAAAAACTCAGCACAACTGTAAATACACTGGATAAGTTCCCAATGCTGCTATACAGCTTTAATGTGACTATAGAGCCAACTCAAAGATTTCACAGACAATTGTGGGGTTGTGTCCCTTGGAACCACACAAGCTCCAAATAGATTGTGAACTTGAAACTATTTTAGTTAAGCGACCATAAAGTGTAACATTACTTGATAAAATGCCACAAGTGACATTATTTTGAATAAATCACAATTTTTAAAGAACAAGAACGTTTTATTGATGTTATATTATACCATTTTAACATTTCAAAATAATACCAATGCTTTGAGTTTGCAGTAAAGTATTCCTCTATCAGTTTTTTCTCTATACTTCTATACTAAGGTATAGCTATTGTATATATCCACCTCTCCCCACCTTATAGATCTAATGTGATGCAGAACTTTGCAGATGGATTTAATTAAGAAGAAGAGAATCAATAAGTTGGATACAACACATGTATCACAATGGCTAATCAATACTTGTAATTGTGTTGTCCCAGATTAATGTGATACAATGCTGACTACCAGGTGTTTCATGCAAGTAGACCTGTTAAATAAATGACATTTGTACATAAAGCCAGGAAGGTGTTCTTTGTAAGTAAAATTGTTAAAATGATGCATTTGTACTTATAGAAAAAGAACAGCTTCTTGGATTAGTAGAATTTGTTTTTTGCAATTTAGAAAGATTAACATGAACTTTACCATTAGGTTACTTCTTTCAGAGGTCTGTAAATCCTTTCAGATTAGGTTATTACTATAATCTATATTCTGTTGTAGATCCATAGTGTGAAATTCTATAGAATTACAATTTTTGTCATGACGAACTTCAAATTAAAACCTATATTAACTCACATTAATATCACAAGTATTGTTGTTCCAAGGAGATATTTTTGCTATATTAAATTAATGTATTTACAATTATAGGCAAGATCACATTTATCTTGAAGCAAGTGTTTAAAACTTACATATTGTCTTCCCATGGCATGGGAAGATGCTTGTTGTGATCCGAATACATCTCATCTAAATCCATAGTTGACACAAGAGAATACTCATATGGTGTGCTACTCATTAGTGACTACCTCCTACACTTTAGGACACTTTCATAATTTATGCACAGCCTATCAGGCAAACTTCTCTAATGGGATATTTTTAAAAGCACACTCCCTCTGATGAGTACAGGCTAAAAGCCACAAACTTGAAACCACACAACACAGTGGTGACAGCTGCAAGGCTCTCAAAGCCCGGTCAATAAAAAGAAAAACTTATGCTGCTGTCTATGATATGAGCCAGCTGTTGCCTCTCATCCAATTATAACCACATACAACCTATATACAGCTGGCTACACAGGTTGTGAGTCACCACAACACAGTCACCCTCAGAGACCTTTACACCGCAAACAGTATGGAGGCTACACCAGTAATTATGGGGAATGTTACAGGGGATGATGCTTATGGAGCTTTGACAAAAGGTCTAAAACTACTAATGACATGTAATGGTGTAGATTTGACGTAAGGGTCTCTGGGCTGTTGTGTTCAGTTCTAAAGGATGATAATGTAAAATAAAGGGACTAAACTCCTAAACCATGGTCATCTCAACAGCAAGGTAATTACACTTGACCTTTTTTTTTTTGCTGTTATCCATAATTAATTATTCAACAGATTATTACATCAGATAATAATCTGTTGAAGAGAAATAAATCACTTTTGAAATGCTTTTTTCTTGATTTAATTAATTAATCGCTAACTAATTTATTTTACTGTACATTAACTGTGGGCTTCAATATTGTATACATTTAATACTAACATCTTTAGTACATTCTATGTTAAGTCTGGGTCAGATTTTTTTTTTAAAAATGAAGTTTAGAACTGTTTCATTTAATAATTGAATTAATTTATTATCTTTATTTTTTGTTAATATATAAACTTAGTTTTTGAATTCTCAGTTGACTGTGTTAAGCTGTTTGATAGTTTTAAAACTGTCACTGGTTTTAACCTTAAAGCTAATCAGCAATGGTAAAGGACACATGTTGTAGCGTGACAACTGCCTGTAAAATGTTATTATTTATGCTATTTAGTACAATAATGAAAGATGTATCAAGCCAAACTTTCTGTGCAGTGGTTGTTATCACTAATAGCTGCCAGTTTATCACTATGATTCTTTTTAAAAAGGTGTACATTGAGAAGAAAAATGACTACAACTCAAAACTTAAGATACTGTTAACTTTAAAGAAGGCCACTTAAACTGTAACATTGCTGAATCGCCAAAAGCAATTTCATTATCACAATAACAACATAGTGTACAAAAACTGGATGCGTCCAAACATAAACTTTAACACTTGCATAAACCATTAAAAAACTTCATAAAGCATATAAGGAAAAGAAAATATTAGCCTTGCAAATTTTTTTTTAAAATCAATAAAATATTGAATTTCTTTATAAAAAAATAAACTTATAATAATTAATTTTAATAACATTCAAAAGCTTAAGCCAGATCAGAAGCAAACACTTTTGCTAAGTCAGGATGAGTTCAGTAATGGTAACATAGGCCTAGAAATCTTTTACAACACAGTGGGGATGGTAATAATGGTCTAAGATTTACATCTTGTTGAGGACATTAAAGGAAATTAACACTAACAGTTCAAAGACCACTTCAAGAAATTTAGAAATGGCATAATTCTAGTAGCCACCATTCTTGAGATGGACAAAAAGTCTTTTGTAGCTTATTTTTATCTTTTGAGAAGAAGCTTTCCTCTTAAAACATGTTTTAATAAAAGTTTAACATTTAGATAAGAATTGAAAATTATTTCACTTAGAGTTAGAGGCTAGCAACATTTTAGCCGTGATACATCCTTGACATTAATTACAGTACCAGTTTGGAAACAAAATATGATGCGCTAGTTAGAATGCAAAAAAGGGTGAAATGATGAAAATTAGTAGAAAAATGATGTAAAAACCTCCTGTTGTTTGTTCCTCTAGTTAGTTACATCTATTTGGTGTTTATTAAGATTATTAATAAAGTGTGCATGTCCCATTGGCTTATCAGTTTTGTAGATAAGGTCACTATTTATTATACTTGTAAATAAAACCAAGGCCATTATAAGTATGCTTTGATGTCTACAAATAGTAGCTTAAGTAACAGAAATGTGTATGTGTACTTTTTATTCGGTGGTATATTTTTTCACAATTGAAATGTTTTTGCCATTCTATTTAAATTAAGTTGTTTCAATACATAATGATACATTATTTTTTTTCTTTCTTTTTTCAAAAGTGAAATTTCAGAAAGAATTTTTTTTTAATTATTTTCCTGTTGTAATGGTACCAACCTCTTGAAACTAAGTTCAACAATCATTGTTTTAAGTGTTTTCTGTATAAAAGCATTGTCATCTGTTTTCTATATCTTGTTGTTGTTATAATTATTTCATAATAAACCACTAGAATTAAGCGAAATTCACATGGCAAACATTGTTAAAAATAATGCTCAGTGAGACAAGCAAAAGGTACATACTCAGCACAGTTAAAACTGAAACTTCAATTTATTGTTTGGGTTGGAGGTGTCCCAGTAAAAATCTGACAAGAACTTAATAAATTTAGAATTTAATTTTTAAAATATGCTATGGGGGGGGGGGGGGGGGCTAGATATTTGAGTTCCTACTACTCCACATGTTACCAAAATAAAATCTAAATACTAAAAGACAAAACAACTAAAAGAAAAGTTATAACTCAACAAATTGTTGAGGCTGGTAAAATCAAAGATGTTCATATAAGATAATCATTAATTCAGGGTGTGAACATAGCATTGAACACAATATAATTATACTACTAACTGTTACAACTGACATGAGTTACTGCAGTGTTGCTTGACTCATGACTATATTAAGTGAGTGTAATTATGGTCATACTGGAATGTAAATTGTAAGTTGACAGTGCAGTAAAACCCTGATATTGCATCAGTAATTGTTCCAGAACAGTAGGCCCTATAACAGACATTATGCAATTGGTGCTGTACATTTGTTTGCCTGTGTTACTGTAAACCATAGCCATAGTATATTCTACTGTTGGAACAAATAATCAAGTCAAGCATACTTAGGTCTAATGGTTTTAAGTTAATGTCAAAATAATAGAGATTAGCAGCATGCTGAATAATATTAGGCCTATTAGCCTATCAATAGTATTTTAATTATTAGGGCCTAAGACTAATTATTATTAGGATCTATACTATAGACTATAGGCCCATCTGGGTTCAGTGACAACACAAAGACACTGACTCAGTCACTCAAGACAATTTTTCGCTAACTGCAACTGACTGTCAGACACTTTCATTTTAAAAGCCAATTTTCATTTTTTAATTGTCCAAAAATATTATATGATTCTTTTAGTTTAGACTCTAGAGATCTAGTAGAATATGACTTTCTATGTCACTATCTTATGAATATGAATTATTCCAAATGATTGTAAAAATAAAATAGGCTTTTTTAGGCCTACTAAAAAAATAAACTGAGAGTAGAATGATTCTATTGCTCTAGCTGCTAGCTAGACTCTAGATTCTAGATCTAGATGCTAGAATAATTAGATCTAGAATGTAGATCTTGTCTAATCTAATCTCCTTATCCCTATTTCTAATCTTAGTCCTTAGTCATTTAGTCTAGAGTCTAAGCTAGTCTAGTCTAAGTCATTTTTTTTTTCTAAGACTAAGTCTAGAACTAGATCTAGATTCTAGAGTCTTGAGTAGATCTAGATCTATCTAGATCTAGTTATTTACTAAAATAACTAAATAATTTAGTTATTCTAGTAACTGACTCTCAGGAGTAAGGAGTAGATCTAGCTACTGAACTAGATTTATTTTAAGTCTTAAGCCAAGCTACTAATCTAGATCTAGAGTAGATTTCCTAACGCGGTCACATATAGCAAAAAAATCCAAACTCCCAATTTCAATCGGGCGCTATTTTGTACCCGTTTCACACAGAAACAAACTGAAAGTACCGTGTTATTCCGCTGCCATTCTACTCTAATATTTATAAGTCATTTTGTATTCCTACGCAAGTATTTGAGATATTCATGTTTTAGTGACGTGCCTGCTTGCGATCTTTTTTTCCCCTTTTTTTCTTGCCGGCGGTCACATTTTCCTGTTGCGTAACAAGCGTAGTTTTTTACGTTTTGATCCAATTTTAATAGCTAAAATAAATAATTTACACCTTTAAATGTGTTGTTGATTGTATTATTAATTAATAGACTGCAAAACCACATAAAAAACACTTTAATTAAATTTATTAACAACACATCACGGATGACCCAGTGATAACTCAAGGGACGCAATTTTAATAATCATAACAAAGGGACGTAATAATTACTAACAAGACAAAACCTAACATTTGCTTAGATATGCTTGTATATGGAGACACAAACTAGTTCTAGAAGAAGTAGATGATCGAAATAATTTAAAACCACAGAATAATGTATAAACTATACAGATTCTAGACTTAGCTTGAAATATAGAGCATCTAAATCTAGGCTAGTCTAGCTCAAGTCATTGGTTACGCAGCGAGGAAAACGACCCGAATCGTCAGCCCAGCTGCGATCACCCCCATTTGACCTCTCAGGTTGCTTTAGTAGCCTTAGCTATAGTATTTACAGTGTCCCACACATATGTAGAAGCTATTTATAGTTAACCTAATTATAAACAGCTTTGATTGGTTGGTTTTATTCGTCTCATCCCGGACCTAGTGCTTTCATCCGGGGGAACTGGGATCACCGGCTGACGTCATACCTCAACTTAAAAATTTAATAACTTGTCTTCCAGAAGGAGAAAACAAAGGAATTTGACCTGGATATATTTAGAAATGGACATGCGTACATCAGATACCGGTAGTTTTGTATAAAGCATCCAAACAATTATTATACGAAGCGAAAAACGGGAATGTGATCGCAATATGGCTTTGATCGCGTGAGGAAATCTACTCTAGAAGCAGATGACTAAAGAAAAGACTAAAGCAGTCTAAGTACAAAGCTTAGCATTTAGAAGCTAGGCTGCTAGATTCTAGATCTAGACCTGGAAAATCTAGATTATCTAGAGAAACTAACAGCCAGCTGGTCGTCTGGCCAGTCAAGACCTGGTCTGGTACAGTAGTGACTAGATCTAGATCTAGTCTAGATCTAGATTTCTAGATCTAGTGAGTCGTGACAGTCTCACTCTCATGTCTGGTAACCAAATTTAATTTATTAATTTTATATTATTCAACTCACAGTTTGTCTTCTTCAATTTCATAGTCCAAAATATCAGACATTATTTCTTTATGATGTTGGAAGAGTAGACTTGATTAATTATTATTTTTAAATTTTTTTTATTTCTTGTGTTTTTGTAAAACAATCGGATATCCACAGTTGAAGAAGAGCTGTTGTGTTTAGATTAGAACGGAAGTTTCTTTTCCAAGCGGAAGAAACATTTGAGTTTAATTTTAGACATTACAGTAACGCAGAAAAAAATGAAAATGTTTTGATTAGTTGATATTTCTTATTCAATGGAAGGTGTGTCTACCTCAGCCAATCAAATGAAGAATAGTTTGACCGACTTTTCACTACAGCTGGACGCAGTAATAATCTAATATTATTGTTGTGAGAGCGATGAAAATTATCGGTAGTGAGTGTGTTTCAATTCTAATAATTAGACTAGCCTTCTAAAGATGAATTGTTTCAGAGAGAAAATAACATTTAATAATAAGTAGAGTTTAACTGTGTGTATATTACTGCTATGCTTTTCCTCTTCAAGTGTAGTACACTAAACTAAAACTGTTGAATATTAATATTAGTATTACTCCTAGTGTTACAATTGTAAAATGTCAAACAAAATTAAATTATAGTAAAATACCAACCCCATCCCTATCCAAAATGAGTGCTCACATAGAACCACAAAACTCTACATTTTAAAATAATAAACAAAAATTTCGCCTAATCATAATAATTCTTTTAAAATTTCTGTTATACATCTTTAGATTTTAGAAGAGTTAGGCCAGGCCTGGGTCACATTTCTCTCTCAAGTCCTTCACAGTACTATTGTGCATCTTCTAAAAAGTTTGGACTGCCCATAAATATAAGCAGTGTTCCAGCCTTTTTTCTCCAGGGGGGCACTACTTGAAATTTTCGGGGGGGGGGGGGGGGGGGGGGGTGCTCCGCTTCCCGAAGAGATGCCTGGAAAAAACTCTGAATATAAGGGATGCCATATAGACCACAGCTGGGTGTTGTACCTGTTATGTTTGACTTACTAATGATGTTCACTCAAATGAAGCATGAAGTGACCAGTTAAAACACTTCACCTGTGAATTCATAGATGGGTTGTTTTTTTAATCACAAACTAGCCTAAAGAATGTAACATATGTGAATAAAAGAAAAAAAAATTGTTTTAACATAAGCAATTAGTGTAACCTGTAGCTTATGTATGTTAAATAGATTTTTTAATTAATACAGTTGAAAAACATAACCGATTCTCTTTAGTTGTGTAATGACCACTATTTCTTTTTTTTTGTAACAGGGAAGTTTGTTTTTTGTACTGTGTATTGCATAATGAAGCTTATGTAATCAGTTGTAACATTACAGTTTTTCTGGTTTAATCTAGTTTCTTATCTAACTGTCAAACAGCTGCAAGATTCACATTATGGCTGTGACTTGTATGTATCAGGGGACATGCCACAAAATTTTTTCTCCTTACAACCGCAAGATAACTGCAGTGCTAATGTTAAAGTGCATATTATTTCTCCAAGCTGTTCTAGTTTTCTTAGATAAAGTTATCAGCTGCTTATCACTAGATGGTTTTTTTTTATTTCTACAGACTAGCAATAATAACATTGTTGACGAATTATTTTCAAAAACTGGCGACCTTGGTTTGTTTGATGCATCTGTCTAGTTGCATGCAAGGTTTTATTTTTTCTAGTTCTCTCTCTGTGAATCACTAATCACCAATGCCTCTTCCTGTGGGTAAGTTAAACTTTTATTTTATTTGTATTCCATTTTCTCTACTACGATGTAATTTTTCATCCTTGTTATCTATTAGTCTACGCTACTGTAAGCATTTATTCTTTGTGGTAAATGTCAGCCAAGTTATTTTTATAAGAATTTTTCTCTATGTTTTAAAAAAAGTGCAGCTCACTTGATTAAAACTAATTATGACTTCTAAATAAATGATCATTAATAAACCTTTTAACTTGATTTGAATACTTCTCCAGTTTAATTTATGATTTCATTGTTGATCATCCATCATAATTTTAGATATTTTGCACCTCTGTGTAATTATGAGTTTTAGTTTTACATTTTGATATTGAGTGGATAGCTTACAAGAATTAACACATACTTCCAAGTCTTTACTTGATTGTGCTCACTATCTAAAGCATGGCTAAAAAAAGTTTCTTAACTACTCTAGGATGTTAGCTGTCGTTTTTTAAGTAATTTAATTGGATTACAACTGTATGACAAAGTTCATATAATTGTATAAATAATTAGAAATAAAGAATCAACATTTTGCTCACCCTAATATATATTTGTTTTTTGTCATAGTCAAAGGAACTTTGGTGGAGCATCGCATTTTAACATGAGCTTTTTAATCACTTGTGTAAATATTCTAAAAATTCCTACTAGGTAACCAGCCAGCTATACGCGAGTACTTTAATGAAAGCTGGGTATGGGACAGTAACTCCAAACCTCCTGAGGTCCAGTTGTCTTCCAACATGGAGGCTGCCTATTTTTACATTGACCCAGTTATTCAAAGTACAGGTACTGTAGGTGGGTAGCTTAATGTTAAAATTTGTTTAATTTAAAATGGCTGCTATATGTAGACCAATAGCTATCATTGAGGGGCTGTCAACAATTATTTATTTTTGTTTACATTCTATGGTCTATGTTCTATTATTAAACACTAAGTATCATGTAATTATTTATTCTGACATTAAGTTACTGGTTACATCCTGTTATATATTTAAAAAGTTAACTGGTATAGCATATTCTTACTGTAAAATTATCAGTTAAATGATAGTCCCTGATGTCTGCTATGTGATGACAGGTGTGAGAGGAACAAAGGGGTTCTCTGATGGTGAGCACTACTGGGAGATTGTGTTCTTGGAACCACCCAGAGGAACATCTGTCATGGTTGGCGTGGGAACATGCAGGGCCCTGCTTAGATCCAACCTCTACCAGTACATAAATCTCATCGGTATGATTTAGAATGCTATTGTCTGATGCATTCTAAAATATAAATATAAATATTTAAAAATATAATAATATATATATAAAATATAATATTTATAATAATTAACTGCATTCATATGAAAAAAAATTTTAATAACAATTTTAAATTTATATATATATTTTTTTTTTAAATATAGATCTAGTTTTTAAAAATTTCTAATAAATATGAATATTTATTTTATTCAGATTCTTTCATTAATTTTTGGCTTTTTTAATTTTTTAAAAACTTAATTCTATTTTTTTGTACATCCAGGTCAAGATGAGGAAAGTTGGGGTCTGTCGTACAAAGGTTGTATCTGGCACAATGGCATCAGCAAGCGCTACTGTGACCCTTTTTTTGACAGCTCAACTGTCATTGGTGTATTGCTGGACATGTACAAAGGGACCCTAACATTCTATAAGAACGGCATCAGTCTTGGTGAAGCGTTCACTGGGTTGAACGCTGTGCAGAAGCCCCTCTATCCTTTAATCAGTTCCACGGCCACAGAGACTGAGCTGGAGCTGGGTGTAAGGACCTGTCGCTACCTCACCCTGCAGGAGAAATGTTTTTCTAAGATTCGCAGTAGTCTGGTCAATATGGACAGTGTGGACAAGCTGCCTATACCAAAATTAATGAAGAATCATATCCGCGACTTGTAATTTTACAAAACTTTTGTAACAGAAGGCAGCTGATGGTAAAAATTTATACCTGCACACAACCATTCCATTTCATGAGTTTCACCATTTAAATTTAAGAAGAAATATCTTTACACAATTCTTAAGCAATAATCCATTTAAAATTATTATTTTTTATTTACTTGTAAATATGTTTGCAAAGGTAAATTTAGAAGTATATGCTATTCATATATTGTGATTTATTTTTTATAATAATTATTATGTAAACATATTTTAAAACTGTTTTGAACTATTTGTGATAATCTGGTATTTAAATTTTAAAATTTTTGTGATATAATATGTGATATACAAGACAAAATTTTATTTTTAACTTCTAACTGATTTTGAGGAATGGCAACGCATTCTTAATGAAGACAGCTATAATTTTGGATGACAAGAAAATAGAGTGATTTTTTATTGCTGTCTAAATTTATACTAAATGGTTAACAATGACATTCCTATTTTTAGCTCTTTAACATAAAAAAAGTATTTGAAATTTTTAAAATTTTATTTTTCAATACTCTTTTTTCTTTATTTCTAGAGACTTTAAATGCAGTTTCATCTTTCTGCTTTATAGTAAATTTAGCTGCTCAGTTTGTATAATTATTTATTTTCAATGAAATTTTAGCTTTGTTTGATTAAAAGTACAAATATATATACTATTTAAACATTTAAGTCATATATTGATAGTAAATATACTACCTGTAAATATGCTACAGTTTTAATTGATACAAATGTAGTGTTTAATCAACAAGTTTGGTTGAATATTCAGATTATTGTTTATGTTGTTTTGGTTAGTTCCCTTTAAAATAGTTTTTTCTATTTCATAGTTGTTTTACTTTGTTGATTGAAAACTGCATTTTAATACAGTTTTGAACATGCAATTAGTCATTACCAAATATGCATTTTCCTTTTTAATGTAGTGAAAAGATCCAATCAATAGAACTGTAGTTTCTGGTATTTCTGTACATTGAACTTAATAAGAAGCCAAATGTTGTGTAGTTTTATTTGCAAAATCATGTGTTCATTCTAATCTAAACCCTCTTTTTTTATTACCTTAATAAGAACAGTCAATTGGCAGTGTTTAAGTGTACAGACCACCTTTAAAGTAGTGCCACTTTGATTCTTTTATTTTCTAGCATGTCTTTTTTGTCATAGTGACATCTATCACTTTGAATCTCCATATTTTGATGTGAATCATATATATGGTATTTTAAAACTGTTACATAAATCAATGAAATTGAAATTTGTTTTCAATTGTTGACTAGTTGTTTTTTTTTATTATTATTTTCTTTAACAAAGAAATCCTTGGCTTCACATCACCTTTACTGTGTTGTGTTTTAATTACAGTTTGTAATTATTGTTTTTATAATCAATTTGTTAAATATGTAATTAAAAAATAAATGGTTTCTGGTTTCTTTCAAACTATGTTCATTCATAATTCACCAAGATTGAATCAGCCAATTGGTTACTGTAAGATAGATACAAATGCTAGTTTTTTTGTTCCTGTTGTGTTTCATTACTAGGATATATACAAATATTTTCTATTTATTCCCCACATCCTTTGCATATTTGCTTCATTGCTGTAGGATAGATACATGTATTTGCTATTTGTTCCCAACCTTGCTTGGATGGATACAAATATCTGTTCCTGTCTTCTTTAGTCATTGTTAGATAGATACACATATTTGCTATTTGTTCCCAACTTTGTAACTTACACTATAACTCTTTTGAGAAAGCTCTGTGCCATTTGTACTCTTTTTTTCTATATTTTATTTTGGAAATTTCATTTGAAAATTTATTGTACATAACCATGTGGGGAAACCTTTCTTTGCCGCGTTTAAAAAAAACATTTTGGTGTGGTTTTTCTGGCAATTTTCTCATGCATTTAATTTTTTTTATTACATGAGAACAGTAATTTTAAAAAGTGCTTTAAGAGTTATTTTTAACGAAGTTTATAAAAGATAAAGTAAAATTTAAATCTTTTAATATTGATATTTGGCCTTGTATTTCTATTTTACATTTTTTTTTATAAAATACCAACTTAGTTCTGAGTTAGTTTATTCACTAAGAAAATTGCAATATATATTTTTTTATTCATTAAAATATGAATTTTTTCTGGCAAAAGTTGCATTTATTACTGCTGTTAACTGTTACAACTTACATTTCATACTGATGTTAGTAATAAACAGTAGTACTACCCTTATATATTTGTTTTATAACCTACTTATTTGTTCTACTTAATCGTTCACTGAACACATTAGCTTTAGTGTGTGCTGTATGATGTTGTGTTTCAAGAAAAATAAGCCAGTAGCACAGTTCTGTCCCTTGGAATCTGTGATACTTTATACTTTATTGGCTACTGGAAAATGATGGTTTTTGCTTCTAAAGTGGGTTTTCAAAATGGTTGAAGAAAACTTTATTTAAATTATATGAAAATATGGTTGCGTCAAGTTTTGTCTAGATTATGAATAGTTCATCATATTACAGCATACTGCAACTTGTTAAGTTAATCCTTACCATACATAAACAGAGTACCTGTAATCAAACCCACACTGCACAAACCACATGTGGTCAAAGACCCTCTGTGGAAACAACACCTGTGATCTAGGTCCCCTGTGGTCAAAGCCCCTTGGTCTATGTGCCCACGATCAAAGCCCCTTGGTCTATGTGCCCACGATCAAAGCCCCTTGGTCTATGTGTCCACGATCAAATCCCCTGTGGTCTATGTGTCCACGACCAAAGCCCCTGTGGTAAATGTGTCCATGATCAAAGCGCCTGTGGTCTATGTGCCCACGACCAAAGCCCCTGTGGTCAAAGCCCCTGTTGTCAGCGCTCCAGGTAATGAGGAAGTTAATGCAACGGCAAAAACTCGACGTTTTGCACCCTTCGGAAATACATAGCTTTTGCAATCTTGTGTGTGTGTGAACACGATGGAGTACCGACTCAGTATGGTAGACGAAACGAAATATTTCTAAATAGGTATCTGATCTTATACGTAAGTTTCTATCACTGTTCGAGCGATTTTCGGTGTCGGAAGTGGAAATTTATTTCCCCTTTCTCAAAAAACGTTTAAAATTCGCTTTTAGTCAATCTATTCTCAACAAAAAAAAAAAAACCTTCTAAGACATTTTCGCCTCAAAGCGTTTTCTCAAAACTGAGCAGCTTTGTCACAAACTTGCATTCTATTTTAAAGTCCTATTCTGTTAAATACGAACATACGCTATAGTTAAAAGTGAGTAGCTCACTCCTGCTTTATTTTAATATTGTATATACAGTTATTCAACACTATAAGGCTACATAATTGTTGCTAAATCAAATATAATTTCTAAGGCATTCATAACGGTTTGAATTTCAGATATTTTCAGTAAAAAAAATGTATATAAAAAACTTTGATCAAGTGAAAAATGTGTGTGCGGAGTATTAAGGGACTGCTGATGACGTAGTTCCGAATTATGGATGGCCGTTGTGGGACCGTTCCTGACAGCTGATTAGCATTTCTTTATAAACCTGGTCTGGATTAATTTGACAAGAATAAAAGTGATGCAAAGTTCTAGCTTTTGATGTGTGAGCTGAATGTACATCAATGACATCGGCGCAGATGGAATCGTAGAAGGTGCTAGAAATCAGAAGGATTTAAAGGGAAAGTGTTAGAAATTAGTAAGGTGAATGGGGAAAGTATTTGAAATCAGTACGATGAATGGGGGAGGGGGTGGGGTAGCATAAGGCCCATTTTTAAAATTATGTTATGTTCACATTTTACACATGGAGAAGAAATACACAAAGATGTGATTGGCGAACTAAAAATGGCGGAGAAGGAAAAATGTGTATCAGAAACAGGATGCACGTTTATGCTTCTGATTTAAAGTATTTTCAGGATTTCTATAATCGTAGTGGAAAGGGGGGAGAAGGGGTTAAATTTCACTCATCGAGTTTTTTGGTGGTAAATTTTCCCGAAAATAAAAAAAAAATAGAGTTTTTTCTAATAAAAAAAAAAGAGGATAATTACTTCTTAGGTATTGTAATGGGCAGTAGACATTGCAGATCAGGGGAAGTAAGTCAAGGGACTACGTTTTTTGTAACACGTTGCTTGGAGCCCAAGAGAGACGTTTGTGGCTGAGGTTTTAGTTTAGTAGTGTAGTTTCTCCTTGTTGTCTCAGTATGATAGGCTCATGGTTGGCTGACTTTGATAGGCTTATGGTTGGCTGACTATAATAGCTCATGGTTGGCTGACTTTGATAGGCTCATGGTTGGCTGACTTTGATAGGCTCATGGTTGGCTGACTTTGATAGGCTCATGGTTTTTTTTTTTTTTTTTTTTGGCTGACCGTAGTCATTTGGTGGTTCGGCTATGAGAATAGTTTGAAGAGTTTTTTTCTTGAAAACTGTATTTTCCTATAAAATCCTTACCAAAATGTTTGTATTCCTTCCAAATTTGTCATTAAAAAGTGGGTTTTCTTTCAAAAGTTGTCAATAAGTTGGGGTTTTTTTTCCAGAAAATATCACCAAAAAGTGGGACTTACTTCAAAAGTCACCAAAAACTATGTATTCTTTAAGGAGTTGTCACCAAAAAGTGAGTATTCTCTATATCAAACTATTTAACAACAATCCAAATCTATTTGACCAAAGCTTATGAAATATTTTGATGAACGTAATAAGAGATAGAATTCGTTAAACAATAGGCTACCACCTCAATTGTTTCACCAAATATATCCATCAAATTAAATTATCATTTCCGATTAATAGAATCTAATTACAAAAGTTTTTTTTTGTTTTTTTTTTTAATTTTCTCTGCTCTAAAAACCCGTTGTTTTTTTATTATTATTATATATATTTTTTTAATCATTACAATTTCATGCATTAAATTAACTTGATCAACGTTGTGGTGATTAAACAAAACATAATCAGCTTACAAGAATAATTGTTCAGAATTTTAGAGCATTATTAAGCAGTTACATTAGAAAAGTGTCGAGAGCTGGTCTATTTTTAGCATCAGCTCGTGAGCAGGGGTGTCCGTGCAGGCTAATAGCCTTATTGATCTCACTCTCACGTGACGAGGGCGTCTGAATGGTGCAGGAGGAGTGGTGATGGCACTTCACGTCAGGGGGACAATCGCTGGTTCCATTTTCCTGGCACAATTCGTGGGAATCTCAGATTCGTCGTACGTCGTGTTCCGGCAAGGCTGGGCAAGTTGATGTGCAACCGGAAGTAGCGATGGTCGTCTGGTGTGCGGCCGTCTGTTGTATGACCGTCTGGTATTTGGTCGTCTGGTGTTTGGTCGTCTGGTGTTTGGTCGTCTGGTGTTTGGTCGTCTGGTGTTTGGTCGTCTGGTATTTGGTCGTCTGGTATTTCGTCGTCTGGTATTTGGTCGTCTGGTATTTGGTCGTCTGGTATTTGGTCGTCTGGTATTTGGTCGTCAGTATTTGGTCGTCTGGTATTTGGTCGTCTGGTGTTTCATCGTCTGGTATTTGGTCGTCTGGTATTTGGTCGTCTGGTATTTGGTCGTCTGGTATTTGGTCGTCAGTATTTGGTCGTCTGGTATTTGGTCGTCAGTATTTGGTCGTCTGGTATTTGGTCGTCTGGTGTTTGGTCGTCTGATGTTTGGTCGTCAGTATTTGGTCGTCTGGTGTTTCGTCGTCTGGTATTTGGTCGTCTGGTATTTGGTCGTCTGGTATTTGGTCGTCTGGTATTTGGTCGTCAGTATTTGGTCGTCAGTATTTGGTCGTCTGGTATTTGGTCGTCTGGTGTTTGGTCGTCTGATGTTTGGGCGTCTGGTGTTTGGTCGTCTGGTGTTTGGTCGTCTGGTGTTTGGTCGTCTGGTGTTTGGTCGTCTGGTGTTTGGTCGTCTGGTGTTTGGTCGTCTGGTGTTTGGTCGTCTGATGATGTCTGGTGTGTGACCGTCTACTGTATGGGCGTCTGTTGTACGGTCGCCTGCGATGTGGGCGTCTGATGATGTCTGGTGTTTGGTCGTCTGATGTTTAACCGTGTACTAATTACACACAAACTGAAAAACAGCATTATTTTTTAAAGATTTTTGACAAAATACCAAAATTCGTAATCAGTCCTTGACATTCTGACAACAAATCATCCCTGTAAAGTAACTGACCAGAGTGATTGTCCATTTACTGACCAGAGTAATTGTCCACTAATTAACCAGAGTAATCGCCCTTTGGTTGACCAGAGTTATGCTCCAGTAACCATCTCTAATATGAAGCCCATACATTCAATCAATATGGATTCGAATTAATCTATAATTCATGAAACCAAGAAGCAGTGTAATTTGACCTAGCCTAGATCTAACTTTCTAGCTTTTAACTTGACATTGATCCCCCTACACCCCAAAGCTATTTTTTTTTTCATTTCATACTCAATTTATAAAGTAAATTTGGTGACCTTGAACTTTTAGCTCTGCAAACGATGCTAGCATGATCACGTGATAAAGACTACTCCAACATGCGGGGTCCCTGTCACCTTTTTTTAACTGTCGGCTAGATAGAGCCTATCAATGAATTCTCTGGTTTTTCCCACGTTTTCTTTAACTTGCTTTCTCTGTTTGTGTGTTTGTCTTTCCAATCAAATCTTGCGATCGAAATTTCTGGCACTTCCCAGTTAGCTAGCGCGCTGAAATTTTCAGGGAAGCTTTCTTTTGGATGACCATTGAATATTCAATTGTTATTATTACTAAATTGATCAATGGAAACATTTTATTGAGCATTTTAGACCGCTATATAATCTATATATATAATTCTCCTCTGCTAGCCATTAGAAAAAAAACCAGCGACGCGTACCTCGCGCGCAGTGAAGCGAACGATCACATGTCGCCACAGGCTTAGGGGCAGAGAATTTAGCTTGAACCGAGTTTAAACTTACAGGAGCGACGCGTACCTCGCGCGCAGTGAAGCGAACGATCCCACTTCGCCACAGGCTTAGGGACAGATAATTTAGTTTGAACCGAGTTTAAACTTACAGGAGGTGGGCCAGTATGGGGGAGAAGATATGGTCGAGTGGTTGGGCACACGATTGCTATCCCACTCGACACGGGTTCAAATCTATGTGTTCTAGTCAGTAACGTATTCACACAACGTGTTTTTTACGAGTTGTCTTTTTACGAGTTGTCTTTTTACGAGTTGTCTTCGTTTACCCAAAAAAAGTGAAAAGATAAAATCGATAGCAAGATTTTAATGCAAACAAACAAAGACTAAAAAGTAGAAAATAATAATCATTAAAAAAGTTTTAAAAAACCCACGTTTTCTGATTGAACTAAAAAGTAGAAAATAAACGCTATACATCACAATAATGCAAGCGATCACTCTACTATAAGCGATCAAAAACGTGGGGCGCCGTGATTTTCTTACAGTTTCTAATACTGTTGACTCTCTACAAGCTCCCTAATAAAAGTCAATAGTATTATCTAATCAATAGTAATATAACTTTTACTTCGGCGCCCCACGTTTTTCATCGCTTATAGTAGAGTGATCGCTTGCATTATTGTGATGTATAGCGTTTATTTTCTACTTTTTAGTTCAATCAGAAAACGTGGGTTTTTTAAAACTTTTTTAATGATTATTATTTGAAATTTAGATAGGTAGGCGAACCTTGCAGACGATTAGTTATGAGCAAATTTATGTTAGGACGTGACGGACTGTTTATCTAGCATGGTAGGTGGTGTTGGTAGGTTAACCGGAAGTCGGCGTGAGGGAGCGAAAGACAACAAAAATATTTGTAACACCATTTAGCCAAAGAAATAATTGAATGGTTGAAATGTTGTAAAGTTAGCTGAGTGTTAAATGTATTAAATAATCTGTTTTATTCTTAAGAACTGTATTATACCCAAAGAAGTAAAGTGACGAGTCGATGTTTTGGGAAATTGGGAGCTTCATCATTCACTTTATGCCCAAGATAAACAAAGATCTATAAATGCTGTGATGGAAAATTAGGGACGCAAGGGGATCGCCCTTAATTGACGTCACACTCAAAAGAGGGAGTGGGGGAATTTAGTGATAAGGGGGAGGGGATGTTCAGAAAGTATGACATCACAGTGCTGCATTTGTTTTTTTTTTCTTTTTAAACTAATGTTAAAATATAAATGTTAGCTGTTATTTCGCGTTTTAGAAAGCTTTTTTATTTATTTATTTTTTTATTTTTTTTTGTAAATTGTATTAGAAACACATTGACGTACTCTATGTTTAGTAAAACGGTGTGATTAAAAAAACTGCGATTTTGAGAGGGGGTGTAAGCTACGGCGTGACGTCATTTTAGGGAGGGGGGTCTTAATTTTTTGTGATAATGTGTGACGGTGGGAAGTGATAGAGGAGGTAAAAATCGCCCAAAAAGCGTGACGTCCTATATGGATGACCCCTAGCTCTAAATAAGAAAATTAAAGGGAGTAACAATTAAAACTAAAACGGCATAATGTAACAGATTCCTAACTGGTTGTTAAACGCTTTTCCATTGGTCGATGCGTGTCGTGAATGGGAGCTAGGACGCAGACGAGACATAAATCACGTGACGTTATTTTCAGCAGACTGCCCTGCATAAATTGGCGGTAAAACAGCCTTATCTTTTGTTGAAGGCACGCCTTCCTAACTTAGCTGTCTCTCAGAGTTTCTTTCAGGCATCTCTTATGCTATGCCCCCCCCCCCACCCATACACACACACCCAAAGAACGCACATCGCCACCCTCCAGAAATTTAAGTGCGATCCCCCCCCCCCTCGCCCCCCCCCCCCCCACCCCCCACTTCCTGGAAAATTTCAAGTGCCCCCCCCCCCCCCCGCCTCCCCGAAGAAATAAGTCTGAAAAAAAAACTGTTTGTCCCTTCTCCTTATTCAGGCAGAAATGTTTGTTCATTCCAGCATAACGGAAACCCCTTTACTCACAGCTTTCAAAATACTAACCAAAGTGGAAAATTAAATTTACGAGATTTACCTACACATGAAGATAATTTTTAGCTTTTAAAATCTAAAAATTTCAATTAAATTATTATGGAAGAATAGACAACTAAGAAAACTGAATACTGAATTCTTAGCTAGATCTGTCTGATCCAAACAATACCTCTGCTAACTTTTTAGCTGACATCGGTCAAGGTCTCGTGTCACGTGACTCCCCACACCAACAAGCTCGCGCTCATATGACGATACTTCAACATAATCCGGCTCGTATTCAACAAGGGGAAGCCACTCTCACAGTCTGTCATTTTCAGCTGCCGCGTTTATTTCCGGGGTTTGATTAAATTCTTCAGTCCCCGACCGGCTCAACCGCCGAGTTTTAGCGCCGTGCTTTCAGTAAGTGACGCTGGATCTAAAAAAAAATTATTGAATGGCATGATTAAATTTTAATGCGTTTTTTGGCTTAAACCTTTTTTATTGTGATGAAAAATAAATTTTTCGTTTAACATAATTAGGCTGCATTCATTATTGACGATTGGAAATTGAAGTGTTGACATTTCCATGAATGTTCCGCAGACGTTTAATTTTTAATTCTAGTTCATCCATAATAATAATGTGATTGGTTAATAGAATTACTGAGTGTTTTATTAAGGGATAAATCAACAGTATGGATTTATTGATTTCATGACAGAATCGATCTATCGATTACATGGCATTTTTGCGTCAGAACCAATAACTCAAGCAAAACTTTTTTACATCATACAATAAATGATTTTCAGTTAACATATTGGTGTTAATTAATCTGTGTATTCGAATTACATTTTCTTTTAAAAGAAGTATGAGGAGTTTTTTTATGCAGTTATTTTTTGTTCCTAGTAACTCGGGCTCTTTTCATCCATGAGAATGGAGACGTGATCCAGCACTAGCAAACATTTGTATTGAGCTATTTCCCCTGGAGCACATTGTTTCTTCTGTGACGTTTTACTTGAGTGCACCGAGCGCTGTTGACTAGTTCAAAGTGTCCTGGATTTTCTGTTTAGTTAAGCTACTGTTGGGGTATCTCAGAGGTTCAATGTGTTGAATTTATGGTCATCAACAAACCCTGATGATAAGAGCATTGCTTGATACAAATCCATAGTTTGTCAGTATATGTTCTTCACTGTGGGCCAAGTTCTTGTGGCTCTTTAAATGGTCATGTCCACCTCATGGCTCCATCTAGGTGGCTCCCTGGCACCCTTCACTGAACGTTGACTCGACTATTTATTTAGCTAACTCATCGTATATAAAAGAGGCGACCTCTCAACATTATCACCCCCCCCCCCCCCTGCCCATTGAATTAAGTAAATATCCCGGCAAGTCACTGGGGTTTTGTAAGACGTCGGCTCATTTGTTTCAGACCTCATTAAAAGTTAATTAACGTGCTAATAAAAAATATGTGGCCTAATGTAATTATTTCCTATTTCAGTAAACAAAATTATTCTGTTTGAAATGTAGAGAATAACCCAGCATGAAGATATTAGGTTTCTTTAAAGCGATTTTTCTCTAACTTAAAGTAGAACCGATTTGGACGGCCGATGGTAGTCTAAATAATTTAAACAATATGTTGACGGATCTCGCACGTTACTAAGTCTGATCTAATTATAGCCGGTGCCACGAGAACCATGCGCCGCAGATAAATTATTCATTGCGCTAGTGCTAGTTGCCGCCATTGGGGACCTACAGGAAGTCGGCATTGAGCGATGAGCGCTGTGTGACGTCAGCACAGGCGCGCGAACTCTCTTGTTTTATTGCCAGTAAATGTGGAGAGCTTTCCCTTTTTGAGGATTGATTTGTGCGTTCTGCTTTGTGTGGCGATTCCATTCAAATGTTGTTGGGCTTTGCAATATATGGCTGCTAGCCTTCATTGTACGAGAAGTGAAAAAATAATGGAAAACGATGTGAGACATACCTTCAGTAGGATTTAATCAACAGCGATATCTGAAAGAAAGTTGTTCCTTATTTCTGTAATACTAAAGTGAGTTAACAACAGTGGTGGCAGTATACTTGAGTATAATGTTTGTGATGTTGTTGTTTTTATTTAAATAACACTGGCTCATAAAACTCTCACATGGTAAATTAATTATTTTAACTAGTCTATCGTGTGCGGATATTAAGACGCGTTATTATAAAAAGGTGATTCTATGTAGTATAATAATACGGCTACCCTGAAGTCAAAATGACAAAAAAAAGAAGTTTTTGGTCTGTGTAAACAATAATGATCGGGTCTTTCTAAAAGAACTTGGCCAGTGTCCTCAGAAAACAGATGAGCTAAAAATAATATAGTTCCAGAATAATAAGGCAATGGCTAACCATAAAGCGATGTTTGTTGTTTTTTTTTTTTTTTGTTTTTTTTTAAATTAACTATGTCAATTAAATTCAAGAAATGTTTTGAAGAGTTGTGTCCAAAAGGATTACCATCAGCATATTTCTAAAGGTCACGATTGTAGGCCTCTACAAAAGTTAGGGATTGTGTACGTCATGGACTACATGAGCGGGGGTTAAGGTGGTGGTCAATCAATTTGTTATAATGTTATACCATTACTTTTTAAATACATTTTACTGTTGGACGATATGCTGACAAAACCGCCTATCGTTGTTACATTGAACACATTGAAACTTATAGTAAGTAATTAATAAGGCTTTACGAGTTTTTTCTAATGACGATTTTTATAACATTTTGTCTTTAAAAATAATGGAAGTCCCATATTTTGTTTTCATAAATACAAACTTTTTCCAATTTCAAAATGTATTATGGTTTGTCAAATGGCGGAATGCGGGTGGGTAATCACCTATGTGGTCTTTGAAAATTTCAGTAGGCAAGTAGTGTAAAAATGTTATATTTGTATGTTGAAGATATGTACAGGAACACATCCCAGTTACACCCCCCCCCCCCACACACACACACCACTCACACACCCATTACTTACTTTATAATAGGGTTTGCGCATCAAGCTCATGTAAAGCCAGAACATTCTAGAAACCATTGCGATATCTCATCCATGCGACCTTCAGAGAATCGAACGAACAAAGGGAATCAACTCCACAGCTATTAAAAGCGCCCTTTTCAAGCGTTGGCTTTTAAAACTTGTTTCGCAACAAGTAACAAAAACAAAACAAAAAAAAAACAGAAAAAAAGATACTTCTCAAAGGAATTAGAAACAATTGCATAGGATGGGCTTGTGGGGTCTTGCAGGTTAACTCTTAAGTATAGATTTAGAGAATGTTTCTGGCTTATATCATTAGATAAACATTTTGTCCTCATATCGTAATATAAGTACCTAGTTGGTTCTCATATCACATGTATGTATGTATATATATATATATATATATATATATATATATATATATATATATATATATATATATATATATATATATATATATATATATATATATATATATATATATATGTGTGTGTGTGTGTGTGTGTGTGTCATTTCGAGCTGTTTAATATCATCCCAGTTCCCAGTCCTACTTGTGTATTTTGGGCAGGTTTTTATCTGCTCCCTAACACGGCCAGGTTGAAAATTTAAGCCACTTTTAGATGGATGCGTTTGACCTCACTACCCCCCCCCCCCCCCCCCCGTCCCGACCCATTCTGCAGAAAACAGCATCCCGTCATCTGAGATAGCCCCTCCCGCGGGCCCGACATTAAAAGCTTCTTAATAAAAGCTCGGGCAGACAACTCTCGCAGCTCTGTTCGATGTTTGATGGGTTTTTAAAAAACACGACACCCCCCCCCCCCCTTATTTAAAGCAGAGACAATATCTTCTCATTTTTTTAAAGACTGTTATCAAAGCCCTCTCTTTTTAATTAAAAGATTATATCGTCATTAGTTAACTTATTAGTGCGTTATTCGAGGGTTATTATTAAATTCAAAGCAGTATTCAGTTTCTTACAGAGCTGTAGTCTACTTAAAAGTCAATAACCACGCTCTTGAAGTGGGGGGGGGGGGGTGTTAAAAGGGAATGAGAGGGTGAGGGAGTCAAAGGTTTTTACGACAAGTTTAAAAAGCGTTAATTACTTAACGACGGTTAGCATACCTGATACGTCTTTAGGGTAAAGTGAATTTCTATATTCGTTGTTTATATATGTCATTTTTTTTTTCGAAGTGTCTACTCGGAATAAGATTTTTCGGCAAAAGATAGTTCTGCGCATGCGCAGTGACCTATGGCTAGGGTTAGGGCTAGAATGAGGGTTAGGGGTAGGATTAGGGATAGGGTTAGGGATAGGATTAGGGCTAGGGTTAGGGATAGGATTAGGGCTAGGGTTAGGGTTAGGGATAGGATTAGGGATAGGGTTAAGGATAGGATTAGGGTTGGTATTAGGGTTCTGCGGTTGTAAACACACGCATGCGCAGTACCATCGAAAACATCGCCGCTAAGTCGTAGTTTCTCTCCATTGCGCATGCGTATCGCATGCGTATCTTATTCCGACTAGAATCGGCCTTTTTTTTTTACTTTCGTGATTTTAAAAATTAGCTTTTATGTATCGTTGTTGTAAAGGGTAAGTTAACCATTCCAATGTGTCTGAAACTAATTATTTTTTAATCAGCTAATGACCGGCCACAAAAATTAAAGAGCCATTACGTCATTAAAACATGGAGCTGTTGGTCGTCTGGTTGGTGTCTGCTGCTGTTGGTGTCATGCAGACGGCGGCGAGTCGGGTGAGTACATTTTGGTGGCTGATTTGAGCGCAGAAGACATGCAGTTAAAGTATGGTTCTACTGTTTCGTATCATTGGGGGGGGGGGGGGGGGGGGTTCAACAATATTTAGATTGTAGAATTGTAGAATTGTTTTGCGGGTTCATTGATAGTAGATCTATGTAAAATAGTACTTTTGTTGACACATTTTGTCCTGATATCATAATATAAGTACCTAGTTGGCTCTCACTCATATCGTGTAGATTAAGGTTTTGTTTTGCCCATGGAATAACCTTACTTGCTTCTGTATCTCTGGTTTAACTAGAAAATACATGTAGGGAATGTATAAACGATATTAACGGCGCGAGGTTTAGCCGCACGCGCTTTTGGGTGACCAGAAAGATGCGCTCCGGAAAAATGCGCAACGAAAAAAGCGCGAAATAATGCGCAACAGAAAAATGCACCCGCAGAAAAATGCTCAAAGAGAAAATGCGCACACAGATAAATGCGCAAAGTTCTTTTTACGCATTTTTCAGTGGCGTATTTTTCCGTTTGCATCTTTCTGGGAACCGCGCCATTTTACGCTAAAGCACGAGATTGACAAAGATCAGGGTATGGACTGTGTTAAATTTACGTATCGTGATTAGCAAGTTCATGTAGCGATACCACTTTAACGTATCGAACCGCGCAAGTGGTTTTACCTCGAAGTATAGTACTCTCAACCCTAACCAATCTGTTCCATGTTTTATTTTTAGTACAGGTCATGTCAAGATGGCTGCTGTGTCCACGAGTACTGCGCCTACCACACAATTTGCTACCCGAAAATCCACTGTCGATTCGGCTGTCCAGACGGCCACTGCGTGGGACAAAACAACACTTCCGGTGTCCAGAAATCGCCGTTGGTGTTGTTTTCCAGACCAGGCCTTCAGACAGCAGGTGACCAGCGTCTAGACAGCAGCCCCAGGCTGTCTGATATCATAACAGAACGCTACACCTACAACGATCGCGTCAGAGCCATGCGCGCTGACGACCCGGAAACAAAACATTCGAGCTCTCCAACAGGGGAGGTAAAAGAGGACGCACCGGAAGGGATTTGCATGCCCCTGACGCCGTGTAAACCAAACGACTACTGCGGAATGGCCCACAGCTGTACCTACAACTACAACCTTGGCTACAACACGTGTCAGTATAACCTTGACATTGGATCAACGCTCTGTGTCGACAGTAAAGGTAAACCCAACCGGAAGCCCATGAACTGAACCTAACTACTTAAACTCCACCAAATTGTGCCCTTGTGTCCGTGCTAGAAATTTTAAAATCTTATAAAACAACATCTGATAGCTTTACTTGAATGTCGTGCGACTTTACAAGCCTATCATAGACAAGATATGAAACTATTTTCAACACAAAATAAAACAAGAACAACGCAAGAAAGAAAAACAACAAGCTTCATGAATGGAGCACTTTACTGCCTTTACATCAAAAAACGTTGCGTGATGACAATGACACAACAGTTGCAGCTAAAGCTACGCTACTAGCTGTGTTGTTGTTTCGATTAAAACACACACAGGCAATGAACCGTGTGTGGTAGAAAGTGTGGGGGAAAAACATGGAATTCTGGTCTCTGTAGACCACATGAGACATGTCTTCGTGACCTGAGATGATTTATTTTCTTGGACCACAATTGTTTGGATACGTTGAATGTATAGACATTTTCTATATAGACATTTATATATCATATAAATCAAACATTTGACACTTGATTCTTATTGATTTTATATTGATACGATTTCTATGGCTATTGAACAGTTAGCGAATGGTCGATCCATTCAACGTGTCATTATTTGTGCTGCGTAAATATCGTCGGAAGAAGGGGAGGCCTGAAATAAAAATTTCTCTTTTTCTTTCAAAAGCTGACCAAATTAAAACGTGGTCGGTATTTAATTTGTATCACATTTCTACACAATAGTTATCTTGACTGGGTTATATCAAGCAACTTTAACAATCATGAGAAAAAGTTACAGATGTTAACCCTGCACTTCCACGATCACGTGACCCACTAGCCACGTGACCTCACAAGCCACGTGACCTCACTAGCCACGTGACCTCGCTAGTCACGTGACCTCACTAGCCACACGACCTCTCTAATTACGTGACCTCACAAGCTACATGACCTAGCCAGCATGTTGTGAAATTCAAGCCTTTGGACCAAAACAAAATGGCGATGTATTTTAGCCAGCAACAACCCGGATTGACAGGGTGAGGTCAAAGGTCAAGTAAAAATGAGATCAGCCTCCTGTCTATGTCACGTGTCTGCGTGAAACAGCCGGAAATGACGCCGCAACGAAGCCCGTTATTATCATTGGATACAAATCTTGTAGATAAAAGCAACTAGATGGGAGGGGAGTGATTGCTTTTAGGCGCAACATTTGAACCGCCAGTGTACACTATTGTCTAAAGCAGGGGTCGGCAACCTGTGGCTCGCGAGCCGCATGCGGCTCTTTTGATATCAAGATGCGGCTCTCCAGCTCCTTGAACAAATACTAATTATCTTAATAAAAAAATAAAATATTTGAAATAAAAAAAAAATGTTAGTGGCTCTTTAAAACCAGGGAAATTTTGAAAATTGTAACTCTTGGCTCTTCCGCTTCAAAAGGTTGCCGACCCCTGATCTGAAGAAATAAAATCTATTATACGATTGTTGTGTATGAATGTTATTTGATTTTATTTTGAAATATATCGAGAGTATGATGATAAAGCCAGACGGCTATCAAACATTACAGTTTGTCCTGCCCGTTGCTAGATAAATAAAACTGATTTCAACATTTTTTCTTAGAAACCGAGAGAAGGCTGATATAATGTGTAGCTGGTCTTAGAGTTGTGGTTGCCATTGTTATATTGTGGCCTAGTCATCATTTAGTGGCCGGGTATTGTTTTGTGGCCCAGTGTTGTATAGTGGCCCAGTGTTGTATAATGGCCCAGTCATTATTTAGTGGCCGAATGCTGTTTTGTGGCCCAGTGTTGTATAGTGGCCCAGACATTAGTGGTCAAGTGTTGTATAGTGGCCCAGTCATTAGTTAGTGGCCGAGTGTTGTACAGGTGCTATTTCAGTCCGTAGACAAAACAGTAATCGGTACCCCTACCCACAACCCACACCAATAATCACCACTCGCACCCACAATCAGCACCCCACACCTACAATCAGCACCCCATACCCACAGTCAGCACCCCTGCACATAATACAACACCCCTGTTTACAATACTGCACCCGCCCCCACCGATATACAAGAAAGAATCTTAGCGCTTAACTTTGTTGTATCCCCCCCCCCCCCTTTCCAAAAAATACAAATGAATACATTAATACAAACATACACACATTTCTAAACCGATTCAAACTTTAAGTTTTCTAAAAATTTCAAACCACCCATAAATACAAATTTAATACATTTATACAAACGTACACACATTTCTAAACCAAATCAAATTGTAAGTTTTCTAAAAGTTCAAACCTCCAATAAATACAAATTTAATACAATTATATAAACGTACACACATTTCTAAACCAAACCACATTGTAAGTTTTCTAAAATTTCAAACCTCACATTGCGAACACCTTGACGAAACAAAACATTGATCCAGAGTAATGGCACCTTTCTTCTAGCCCATTGACACACACAAGCTAATGACATGATTGTAATAGAAACAAACGTTTTGCCGGGGACATTGTACAACGATACTTGGGGGTGTCAGATGGAATATGTGTGGAGTGATGATTTGATCAATAGTATAGTTACACAAGGATACAATAGTCAACAGGGTGGGGGGGGGGGGGGGGGAGTAGAAGGGGTAGCGTTAGTGATTGTCACATTTATGTGGCTGCTGAGAGTAGGTTCTCGGTGAGGTTATGGTAACATTAGATGGTGACAAAGTGATGTTACGGTGACATTAGGTGGTGACACACTGATGTAATAGTGACACCGGGCGTGACACTGTGATGTAATGGTGACACAGTCATGTAATGGTGACACCGGGTGGTGACCAGGACAGTTATACAATGACCTGAGGGTGGCATCATACGGCATTCATGACACAGACAGTGGTGTAATGGTGACACAATGATGTAATGGTGACACAATGTGAATGTGTTGAACAGGACACAGTAATGGACACAATGGTTTAATGGTGACACCAGCTGGTGATCAGGACTTAAACAGTGACTTAAAGTGACACTGTATGACATTAAAGACACAAACGGTGTTGTAAGGGTGACACCAGGCGGTAATCTGGACACAGTAACAGTGGTGAAATGGTGACACCAGGTGGTGATCAGTACATAGTTAATAATGACAAGAATGGCAAGTTGACTACATATAATTATAAAGCCACTTATATACTAGGTCGAGGCCCTACGATAATTGGGGCCCCAACAATCATAGGGGTCCCACCACATCATCCAACCAAAACCGGAAACATTTCCAATCCGCCTTTGGCATGATGGAATTGCATCTTTTGAACCAGCCCTCACTGGCTTGCATAGAGAATACCTTTCTGTTTCATTTGTTAGCACAGAATATGACAGCCCAGAGACGCTAAGATAATCATAAAGTAATATTCTGTCAATAATGGCCAATAATTCTTATAAAAAGGATGTGGGCTGACATTTTTTTCAAGTGCATGTCTCAGATATCTATCGTGATGGTTGCTGCACATGTTGAAGGCAGCTCTGATGGAAGTGTGACTAAAATAACCATCGGTCTATGCTTGGCTAGACAGTGGCGATTCAGTTGAGTAGTTAAGTAGTGGCCACATGAATGTTTAACGAAAATAAGCTTTGGTCTATGATTAGCCAGACAGTGTTGGTCACCCGAGTAGTTGAGTAGTGACCTCATAAAAATGTTTTGCTAGATCCCCAATTTAGTGCCTTGCAAGATTAGCTAGTTAGGTAAATAGTGGCGTTAGGATGACACCCGTCAGTAGTTTCTTCCCGGCATCTCTTTAGGAAAGTCTACCGCCCCCCCCCCCCCCCCCCCCCGCCCCCCCCCACCCTGAACGAAATGGAATTTGTATAGAAAACAGTGTGCGCCCCCACCTCCGGACATTTTAGTCCGCCCCCCCCCCCCCCCCCCCCCCCGGAGAAAAAAGTCTGGAAGAAACACTGCCCTTCACAACAAAACTGCGTTGTGACCGGGCTTACTAAAATAAAATAAACTTTAAAAACTAGCAGCCAGATACAAGAATTAAGTTTTGGTTACCGAAATTAAAGTTCAATTTTTAGCAGCTCGATACAACGTAGCCTTCACTTTATTTTTAAACTTACAGTGCTACATGGGGATGGAAGCCTATAAATTAATAAATAATTGTTCGAGTGGCTACATTTTCGTGTTACTGGACTCTACATGTAGGCCACTGAAGGCCTTGTGTACGACACGAAGCGACTAGCTAGCCTATTATGGTAATTGAGAGCAGGGGACGGGATTAGTTTTTTTATTGAAATATAAAACAGGCAATATCGAGTCACCTCCCCATGTATATGCAAATATGGGGGTCAAAGGTGACTGTCTGCTTCAGAGGCCGACATATTTTTCTGACCTCTACTTCGGCCTATCACACAGCTCGCTCTGACAGCTGTCTTACACGACATACACCGGCTCTTGCAGTATAAAGACAGCTTTGTTTTGTTAGGTCTATCACAGATCGAGACTAGCTTTACCCGGGAGCTTAATCAATACATCAGTAGTAGCACATAATGTTCGTGGGAGCTTAAGACTTCACTTGTAGTATACTATGTAGTTAGAGGCAGTGTTTCTTCCAGACTTTTTTCTCCGGGGGGGGGGGGGGGGAAAGGGGGGCACTTAAAATTTTCGGGGGGGGGGGGGGGGTTAGACTTTCTTCGGGGGGGGGGGGGGGCGGACACTGTTAAAAGTATATATTTTCTATTTAAATTATATAAATTTCATTTCGTTCGGGGGGGGGGGGGGGGAACTCTGGTTAGAGGGAGCTTAATACGTCACATGTAGAACTACAAACATGAGCTAAATGTCGAAGACTTAGGTCGCGAGTTCGCTTATTTAATCGTTACTATTCGTTACCATATCCACAATATCGAGGCTGCAAGTTATAGGTAATTCTAACCTACATACAAAATATTGACCGCTTTGCCACCACAGCACGATGGCCGAGTGGTTAAGGCGTTGGACTTAAGATCCAATGGAATTATTTCCGCGTGGGTTCGAACCCCACTCGTGCTAACCTTTTGCGTTTTGTATTTATTGCTATACACTTGACAAAGCGAGTGTATAAAACCATTGCTGATAAATCATCAAGATACCTGTTGACCTACATAGACACGTAGCCTGGTTGAGACTATGTTTGTGTCCCAGTTTTCAGAATTAGTGTTACTATAAATAGACTGGGTATAAAAATAAAAATCCAGCAGTTGAGCAGGTGATCATTTGTGTCACCATTCTACTTTTGTGCCAGTGAAGAATATTTTAGGCTGCTAAAAAAAGAATATAAAAATACCCTTCTATCTAAAATACCTCAGGGCCAAGAAGGGGAAGCAGATAGATTTATGTGTGTTGTGGAAAGTTAAATCTGAGAAAAAAAATGATAGGGAAATAATTTATGTAACAGCTTGTATTTATAACGGGGTAAAACATTGTTTTCCAATGAGTGGGTGGGTAGGGTTAATAAGACCACCTGCATTTTCTAAATAGAAAAAATACCCCCCCATATATTTCTTCAATATAAAATTTATAGAGAAAAACTGTGTGATGACAATACTTTTCTTGTATGTGTAGCTGCACCTAAATGATTTCAGACTCATTTATTAAATTGATTTACTAAATCATTTATATTTATTACCCCTGATTATGTTCTGACTTATTATACAACATCACCAGATACAGCTACAAATAATACATAATAAAACCTTTGATTACTTATTATTATAAAAATAAATTTTATTTAAAGCTTCAATATACAATTTAATGAAGTCATTAACTAAACAAAAAATGATTAACATCATGTACATTCAAAGGGCTATTGTTTCTCTCCTTTCCAATTAGCACCCACTGACTCTCCGCCATATCCAATTAGCACACACTCTAACTACCCTCCTTAATTAATGAGCACCCATCTCATCTCCCCTCCCTATCCAATTAGCACCCACCTTGATCACACACACAGACACCAATGTTTACATTTACCCTAACACACACATAAAGCATCACATGAACCATGTAAATGGTAATTAAAGCAGTGACCTTTTCCTGTGTCTGCTGAAAAGGTCATGACCTACATAATAAAAAGTGTCAGAATGATCTACCATACATCAAAGGCAGTAGACAGTACATTATAAATATTTCTAGAATCTTCCATAAAGTTGGGTATACAGACACAAAACTAAATTTTTGAAGACTAGGTTCTAGCTACAGTCTTAGCTAAGATTAAAATACAGTTTAACATAATAATGATTTGCATATAACAGCAAAAAATAACACTGTGTATTCGTATAAAAATATTACAATTCACATAGTTGACAAAACTATAAATATTTGACAAATTTCATGTTTGTGACATTTCCTAGTGTCACCTACGGTCATCTTTGAGATTATAATTCCTAACTTTAGGTTTCAGTCTTGTCGCCTTCTTCACATGTTCGGAATACCTGACAGCAGCTGTCTGCCCGCTCTGCTGCTTCAGTGCTGACTTCAGTTCAGTAGGTGCTTTCTGACCTTCTAAATATAGATCTCTTTTCTTCTCAGAGCCTTGACCTGGATGACCTCTGACACCTTTTGAACTTCCTGGAATTGTTTGAATGAAATAAAATATAAATATTGGGATTTAACCACAACCTTAAGGAAAATATTAGGACATAAAAAATTAAGTGTAAATAGTAAATTTTAGGCGTGGCTTAGCAGTAGAGAGCTAGACTGCAAACATAAAAGTCTCGAGTTCAAAAATGGGTTCAAGTCAGTAGAATGTCCCTGAGTCCCCCCAGCTCTGATGGGTATCTAATTCATGTTAAGGAAACAAAGGCAGCAGGGCATAGTGCTGACCACACTATCCCTTCATAGGCTGTCATTGGAACAGATGAAATCGACTTCATCTGTCTTGGACACAAACAAAACAGATGATGATGAGATGATAAGGATATATAATGAAGAAAGACTTTAAGATGATACAGTGCATTACAAGACAAAAGAATAGAGCTACTAAAGCCTGTGAAGACAAACCTTCCTGTCCTAGATGCTGTGAGGAGGTGGGCTGAGACAGATGAAGTGAAGATCCACCACTGACAACAGAATCTTCCAGAAGCTTCCAGACTTGCTCTATAGATTCCCCTCCCCCTGAGGAGAAACTCATCAGCATTTGAGAGTCCTTGACTGGTGGGGTTAGCCTAGAGAAAGGCCTAGGTGATGCCTGTGATGGTTGGTGGGGCCTAGAGACAGGCCTAGGGGAGTGGGATGGCGGGTGGCTTGAGTGTTCCACATCTTTTTCATTGCTCTCTGGAGAAGAAAATGGAAAATATTACAACCTAACTTCAAAACTAAAAGAAAAAGAAAAATCAATATTTAAAAAAGTCATAAATAATAACTGAGAAAACAACATTATTTTATAGTGTAACTAGCCGTCCCGGCCAGGCCCTGCTCTGGCTTCTGTGAAAAACCTTTCTGTTAAAGACCATTACCTGTGTGTTTAGTAATCATCATAAACCCGGCATTGCCCACCCAAACCACAACCAACCAAAACCAAAACAACAAAACGCAAACATAACGCTAACACAATTACAAATACAAACGAAAACAAAAACTTAACAACAAACACAACCACACCCACAAACACCAATACAAACACAAAGAAAAAACAAACAAAAAAGCAAACGAAAACAAAAACCTAACAACAAACCCAACCACAAACACCAATACCAACAAAAAAAAAAATCAACGAAAAAAGCAAACGAAAACAAACCAAATCCAAACGCAAAACCAACCAAAAACACAAATACAAACCCAAACAAAAAAAAACACAAACAAAAACGAAAAAAGAAAGAACAAAAACGAACCAAATCAAAACGCAACCACTAACGCAAACCCACCTAAACACAAAGAAAACACTAACGCGAACATAAACGCCCGGGGCGGAATCACCTGTTTTAGCTTAATGAACGACTATAGTACCCCAACTTATTCACAGTCTTTTGCACTCACTTAAACGAACGCGCCTGTTTCAATTTAATAAACAATTTTAATACTCCAAGCTTATCCGTAAAATACCTACAACATTTGCACTTGATCAATCCCCGCTAATTATGTAATTATTTTTTTTCCCAACACCAAAACAAAGTAATTAAAAAGTAAATTATTTTCACGGAATGCTATGGTTTTATAAAGGGAAGTAATTGTGTTTTTCCTAATTTATCAAAGGGAAGTAAGTGCTATAGGACTAAATAAAGACATAATTAGAATTTTTGTAAAAGATGATATTTTTTTTAAAACTTGTGTTTAATGAACATGCCGACAATTATTACTATAATTTGAAAAATGAAAATTATTTCCCAACACTTTCAATAGTAATTTTTTAGCTCATAAATTTAGACAAATGCGCACGATAATTTTCTAACTTTTAAATTCGTACAATTCCAACGACATACAAATGCATTACATACAGAACTGAGCTTTATATATTAGATATTATAACCCCAATACAAAAGAAAGTTTGGCCATGAACTTTTTTTCGCCCTAGAATCCTTTCAAAACTGGTAATTGAAAACTAGACTCCCCATGATTGAGTTTGGTCAAGTTATTGTTGGGTTGGGTTTGTAATTGATTGGATAAAAAGACTGGTTTCACCAAACAAAAAAAACACCCGGGCCAATTAATTATGTATACCATTATTCACTGGTTCTTTTCTAGCTTTCATTGACCTTGGCTTTTGTTGCTATAGTGGTTTGAAATGTCATCAGAGCTCAAGAGAGTTCTAGCAGGGGAAAGAACTCAGGGTTGGTGAAGTCAATTACACAGAGACCAAGTTTGTATGGTCCTGTTGGAACTGCTCTAATTGTATTTTCTCACTCAGATGCACCTGAGACCCTCACTTTATTTTTTTTATTTTTTTTAAACATTCTTGCAACCTTCATTTTATTTTTTTAAACTCTTCAGTTCCAAAAAACACTTAACTATTTTCAGAGTTAAATTTTTCGAGTTAAATTTGTTTCTATTTTAAGTTTCTGAAAAAAATTAAAAGAACAAAAAATTCAGTACACCAGTATGAGATCTAATTTTCAAGAGAAATATTTCATCATTGGTATAAAGAAAAAAATTTATCCTAAAAAATGGGTAAAATATCAACATTTATTGCGTGCTGGTGACCAAACGATAGGAGGAAGGGTCATGGAAGGGGGGGGGGGGTCCATGGGAGGAGGGGTCATATAGAAAGGATTAGACAACAAAAGATGTTTCATGGTAATTACACAAATGGTTGTGAGATGATTACAGAAATCACACTGAAGTTTGGAAAAATACTCATAGTCTCCCCTGATTTATTTGAGTTTGGTGTAAGTTTGGATTGTCTCCTCTTAACACAGGCGGACATTGCATTTTTTACACTTCAATACAATGTGAAGTAACCATGTGAAAAAATGGCTGAAACTATTTCACATATGGGATCTACAGAAACAAAAAGTACTAAAATCTTAATATTTTAAAAGTTGAGGGATTATTATTAATTTATTACATTTTAAAAAAATTCTATTAAATATTAAAAATCTATTGTACAGAGCATACAAGTATCAACATGTCAATATTATTAAACTTTGATTTTGCAGCTAACTTGTGTCCCCCACATCAATGTTTATAATTAAAACTATTTCCTCCTATACAGTCCATATAGGAGAAATTAAAACAGACTGGATTACTAAATTATCAGAATTACCTGAGCTGTCTTTTTCAGGGAGATCACTCATGTTATAGTAATGATGTGAACCAGTAGAATTATCTCCTCCAAAACGATGCACAAACTGTAGTTCCTGTTACGAATCAAATAGAATTAGTAGTTTTATAATTAGAGAGAATTAAGTTGTAACCAACATTGCGGTTAATTCTAGTAGTTATCAATTTGTTAAGTATCTAGTTTTGAATGTTGAATGACTCATCTCCATGTAACAGGTATATTTTCTGAAACTTTTCAATGTGGCAGATTTCACTAACCTGTTTGTTAATGACAGGTTTCATTAACCTGTTTGTTAACAATGTGACAGGTTATACTAACCTCTTTGTTATCATAGTTGCTGATGTAACTAACCTGTTTGGTTAACTGGTACTGAAGTTTTTCAAGGGCAGACAATCTATCTGGTTGACCTGTAACCTTTGAACCATCATCATTTTTATTATTGCTGTCTTGGACTTTATCATTGAAAGGTACAGGGGATTTGTTTCTCTCTGAATCTGTTCAGGTAAAAAAAAATTACGTTGTGGATTAAAGTATAAATAATCTAAGAATACTAATGTGGATTTTGTTTATATATGTATGGGGGAGTACCAAAGGAAAAGATCATCAGATCAACACGGGGAATAAACTGGTTCCATTATACACCTAGAAGAAACTGACCACTAGACCCATAGAACTGACCACTAGACTAACACAAATAAACTGATTCCATTATACACCTAGAAGAAACTGACCACTAGACCCATGGAACTGACCACTAGACCTAACACAAATAAACAGATGACATGATACACATAGAAGAAACTGACCCTTAGACACATAGAACTGACCATTAGACTAACACAAATAAACTGATTCCATTATACACCTAGAAGAAACTGACCACAAGACCCATAGAACTGACCACTAGACCCATAGAACTGACCACTAGACCCATAGAACTGACCACAAGACCCATAGAACTGACCACTAGACCCATAGAACTGACCACTAGACTCATAGAACTGACCACTAGACCCATAGAACTGACCACTAGACCTAACACAAATAAACAGATGACATGATACACATAGAAGAAACTGACCCTTAGACACATAGAACTGACCATTAGACTAACACAAATAAACTGATTACATGATACACTTAGAAGAAACTGACCACAAGGCCCCCACCTGTTTTCTTTAGCTCCATCCTCAGTCTATTATTAGACTCGGTCAGCTGTTGGTTCTCTTTCGCCAACTGGACTATCTTCATGGCAGCCATCTTTAATTTGTTCTTCAGATCGCCAGCGCTGGACTGGTCAAGTTTGTTGCCTAGAAAATCTAGCCTGGCATCTTCAATGGTCACAGCACGCTGACGCAGTTGGCTTAACTCTGATTGCAGTTGCTGAATGTAGAGTTCCTAAACAAAAAGGCTGGTGTTAAACTTTACAATGTTCGTTATTGTTTAAAAAGTTTTGATATTTTTTATCTGGCTAAGTATTTTATGACTGCAGTTGCTGAATGTAGAGTTCCTAAACAAAAAGGCTGGTGTTAAACTTTACAATGTTCCTCGTTGTTTAAAAGTTTTGATATTTTTTTTATCAGGTGTTTTATAGGGAAGAGAGCAAGTAAGGCCTAAGAGATAGGCCAGGTACAGCACCTATGGCACACAAGGCTATCCCATAAAACAGATACTCAAAAGTTTAATGTGGTTTCTTCAGGAATACAAAAACAGATGTCTTGAAATAAATCTAGTAGAGATAACGCATATAAAACCGCTCCATTTATAATAGTGTAGTGACCTTTAACCTTAGTGATGAAATAAATGTGTAAACTCAACTGACCTGAGCACCATAGTTGATTGAAGGGTTGGAGTCTGACATGGCCATCTTAAGGGAGGCGAGCTGAAAGATAAACACATCCTAAGAGTGGTTTGAACTACCATTTTTACAGTGTTAGAAAAGCAAAGAGAACAAAATTTTTGATGCAAGCTAAAAGATAAACACATCATTATAGAGGTTTGAACTACCATTTTTACAGTGTCAGAAAAGCAAAGAGAACAAAATTTTTGATACTTTCAATTGCCCATAATCAAACCTGCTGAAGTGTATATATCCTAAAATGTTTAATTAGCTACTTATTTCAACTATTAGTAAGTATGCATGCCATATTTTTTTGAGTTATGCCCCTTCTGTACTCAATCAACTTTTATTTGCCTTATTGTTGAATTAAAGATCAATGACAGGTTTTAAAAATTTAAAACCGTCTAGACAAAAAAACTTAATCAGTTTTCTTTTCAAAATACTGTCTGTTAAAATAATGAACGTAGATATTGGATAACCGTGTAGCTGTAGGGATCAAACAAGGGAGGTAATTTAGTGCCAGCGTCCTGACCTGGTTCCCCAGGGCCACAAGTTCCTGGTTGTTCTCTAGGCTTGCCCTGTGGTACTCGTCTGCTTCCCGTCTGGCTTCACTTAGCTGAAGTTCAAGGTCATGGATTCTTGTTTTTAGGCTGCTCATCTCTCCCTCGTTCCTTTTACGCAAGTTGTTGAGTTCATAGGTCAGCTGGTCTATCTGGATCTGTTTTTGACGTGGCTATGGAAACAATAAAAATCATTTGATTATTTGCACGCTATAAAAATATCCATAGCACAAGGTGTAAGTGGAGATGGACAAAATATTTTAATGTGAATACAAGAGCAAAAAAGTCACCGAGCACAACAGAATTTGTTCAGTGTTAATTGAGCACCTGGCTAGAAACTTCTTCTAGTGCTGTTTCCAGGTGAGCAATTCTTGCTTGTTGTTTTTTCACTGTAGCTGCCAGCTCCACTTTCTCACACCTGAGATTACCTGGGAGGGAGGGAAACAAAAATCAATTAACTTTCAAGACTGTCCATATTCTGCTCAAGTTTTACAAATTTAGTTGGAGCAATTACCTAAGGAAGACCCCGTTTTTTTTTAATTTTATGTAGTCAATAAGAAAATAGAAAATAGAATGTGACTCACCTAAGGCTGAGAATGTGACTCACCTATGGCTGAGAATGTGACTCACCTATGGCTAATAATGTGACTCACCTATGGCTGCATTAAGGCCTAGAATGTGACTCACCTATGGCTGAGAATGTGACTCACCTATGGCTGCATTAAGGCCTAGAATGTGACTCTTCACCACAGAGTTCCCCTCCACCTGAGCCAACACATCCACCTGACTGCCCACCTCTGGATCACCAGGTGGAATGGCAAACATTTTTCTGGCTTGCTTCAGTTTTTCTATCAATTCTTTGTTTTTCTGTTTAAGGTTTTCAACTTCTTCATCCACACTGTCAGCGTTATCTGCGCAAGAGCAAATTAAAAAATTAATTTATAAACTAAAGTAGATCATCCACACTTTCACCATTAATGTGCGAGTGCAAATTAAAAAAAATAATTTATAAACTAAAGTAGGCCTACTTTAAAAACCTAAAAAATTTTTTTTAGAGAATATAAGAGGTTATGTTGTTGAATGCATGCCTGCTACCATAAAAGTTTGGGTCCCCGAGCTGATGAGTACACCTATAAGGTTAGGCAAAAATTAATGTTTGATGGGCATAGAACTTGCAGAGGTCAAATAACTCTTCTTCATCTTCCATATTGGTCCATCAGGTCCAAAGGGGTAACTTTACAACTGATATCATAATTTACATTTGGTTCTTAGGAAAGCTATTTCTAGAGTCTAAAGAATTCAGCTGACTAGTACATGCTTTTCCCCCAATATTGATAAAGTTAAAAAATGAATGTATTGTGTAATGACCAAATAGATGAAAACAGATTTAAACTGACTGTTGGCGGTCAAGTATTTCTGGGGTTGAGGGTCAATGGCTCCGAGGTTTTCAATTTCCTGCCTCATCATCGTTATCAGCTGCTTGAGGCTCTCATTTTCCTTCTGAAGTTTCTCCATGTAGTCCAGATCTTCATCCCCTTTCTCCATCGAGTCCAGGGAATACTTTTAAAAAACAGAGGAAAGAAATGGAAAATTTACAGGGTTTATGCACCGGGAGAATTCCAGGAGTTTTTCAGGAGAAATCAGGAAATTTTAGGACGTAATAAAATGCATAAAACAATGGTAACCATTGTTACCATCCGTCTTCCATTTCACTGAGATTTTTCTTTCTTCTGCCTTCCCTTCTAAATACAACTTATATTTAGACCTGACAGCTGCAGTTGCCATGAGCAGCCCCCTACTAATGCTGACATTTGTTAGCCCCCCCCCCCCCTCTCCCCCCTAACTGGCAACATGGTCACATATCAATCTTTTGGTCATCAGTTTTTTCCTACATGTTTACCAGCATAACTGGCTTGTTGACACTGAAGCTCTGCCTTACAGTAGCCTGGCCATGTGACAGCGTCAGTAGTGTGCGCACCAGTGACCAGGGCAAAAAAAATCCTTCAGTATTCTCTAAATACTGGCAGGAAAAAGTGTTGAGCTAGTAATTGAATGTTCATGTAATTGATACAGGGTTTTAGCACCAACCTTCACAAAACCATCCAATGGGATATCAGCTTTCTTGAGGAGGGTGCGGAGTTGATCTCTTTCCCTGTGTAGAGATTTCACCAACAAAACTTTGTGCCGTAACTCCCTCTCTCTCTCCTTCACCAAAGCTTCAGCCTAAAAATATTACAATACTCATCAATACAAGGTACAGAAAATTTTATTTTTAAAAGTTTACAACAAATATTTTCAAGATTAATCAACATTTTAGATAGAATTTTTATTTCATCATAAAACATTTTTAAAAAAATAAAATTTGTTGGTGTGGGCAAGGCTTTTACTTACATCATTGCGCGCTGTGGTCAGCCGCTTGATCAGATCCTCAGACTTGTCGTACTGCTGCCTCTCCAGGTCTTCACATCTCCTCTGCCAGTCTAGTTCCACCTGAGTTTTGGCTTTGTCTAATTTTTCTTCCCTCTCTGATGCAGCTTTCAATTCTCTTTTGTACCTGCAACATTATAAACAACAACTATATATGAGTGTACCTCAATTTTTTTATCATTGGACCCTACTTTTACAATACAAATCCGAATTAATAATCCTCTTAAAAACTAGCACAGCTCTTGAAAAGGCAAGTAATGCAGGTGTTTTTTTAATGATATAATAATGAAAATAAAATTAAAAATCAAAGTATTTAAATAAATTTACCTAAACAATATGACATTGACTATTCGGGAATTAATATAAAATTTTAAAAAATCAAATCATGCTAGCTCCCACCTCTCTAAGTCTTCTTTTCTTTGATCAAGCTCAAGTTTTAACCTCCTCTGTTCCTCTAGAGCTGTGTTTAGCTCCAAGTCTTGGGTCACATGATTACGTGAGATTTCTGCCACGTGACGGTCCCACCTCTCTTTTGTGCTTTGGATTTCTTCCTTTAAGCTGAACATTTACAATATTATGTTCTCAATGGGTTTTTTTTAACATTATTAAGCATAAACATTAATCAGGTAAGAAACTTATCTTAAGATACCCCTTGCTCAAAAAAGAAATGAAAGTGTTTTTGACGTAATTGTAACAGTCAAATGTGGGAGTATTTGTGTGGGGTGAATGTTTTTTTCGAATGGAGGTGTAAAAAGGCTATGTAGGAATATAAATCTAAAAAATATTGTGGGCAGGGGCATGCGCAAAAGAAAGGAGGAAATACGGGAGATTGAAGGTGAAAGGCGTTGTGTTTGGTAGTGTAGCTGCTGTATCTGTGATATCAATAAAATTGTAAAACCACCAGGATAAGGGTTGTTTGGTGTTATCCATCAGGCCTTAAAATATAATAACACAACAGTGATGCGGTTTGTATTTGCCTTTAGTTTGTGCCATGAAGTTGGCTGTACAAAACGGGTGTGACAGTTATGTTTAAAAAGATGGCAAAATACCAGATACAATGTCACGACGACTTTACCGTTCAAACATTTAATCTATTTATAACGTCATCTGAATTTAATCTTTCTAGCTCAAATAATTTTTAAATTCCCTTTCTCATGAAAGGTGAAAGAGATAATATTCTTGTAAACCTACACAAAATAAAAATAACTCTTCCTGTTTAGAAAAATATCAAAACCAAACAAAATTGCAACTTCTCACTTTTCAATTTGGATTTCTTTCTCTTTCATGGCATCTTGATTAGCCCACTGGAGTTGTCTTTCCCTGATCAGGCAGTCTTCTAGCTTTGATTGAAGATCTTGTACTGCTGCCTGCAGCGATCCTTCCTTCTCATGATACCCATTTTTAACTCGTTCAAGTGTATCGTCCTTGTCCCTTGCTATTTTGTCCATTTCAGTAAATCTAAAAAAAAGATCTTAAAACTTGAGATTTTGTTGACATAAAGACACTGGGGTAGAAACAAATTTTGATAAATTAAAAAATGTGGTTTTAAATGTATTTTTGGATTAACAAAATTAACATTTTAAGAAAACAAATTTACATCAATTGAAGAAATAATTGGTTTTTTACTTTCTTTGGAAGTCTTCCTGAAGTTTTTTCAAAGAATTTTCAGCTGAAGAAAGTTTGTTTTTCAAATCTGAAATTCTAAGACAGTTTTAAACAATTACATTTTATTTGAATCTACTATCTGCTTTCAATAAAAATTTCTCATAAATTGTAAGTAAAATTGAAATAGTGAATTGTTTTTAAAACAGTTATTTAAAAAACAATATAGCTGGGTTACAGCCTGCCTGTCCAATTTTTTTAGAACCAGTGGTAATTTTTTTTCAAGCCAAAAAACAATTCTGTCAGCCAGAAACTTGAAACCATTTAACTCTCCTTATTTAATATCAGCAGAAATATCTTCATGGCCATAGAAATATCTGTGTACAGCCTACTCCGTGGCTACAGAAATATCTAGCTACAGCCTACTGTGTGGCTACAGAAATATCTAGCTACAGCCTACTGTGTGGCTACACAAATATCTAGCTACAGCCATTTAAGCTACAGAAGTATCTAGCTACAGCCATATAACTATGCCTACTGTGTGGCTACAGAAATATCTAGCTACAACTATCCCTACTCTGCATCTTTCATGGCCACAGAATCAGCCAGCTCCCACTCCCTCTTCTTGACCAGTTTCTCCAGCTGCCTCTGTGTGTCCTCCGCCACCTCCACTATAGCTGTTGTCTTATCATTACATTCCCTGGACAACTCCAGCTCTTTCTCCAGTATTTTTATCTAGAGGAATACAAAACACAACTAGTCCTCTCAGATGGAACAATTGGTGAATATAAAATCTACAACAAAATTAATATCTTCTTACAGAAATTAATGTAGGCATATGTAAAGTTTTTATTTTAATATTTTGGGTACGCTAGACAAAAGGAGCTGGAGTGATTTGAAATTAACATAATATTAAGATTCTAAATCTTTTTTTTTTAATTGATAATAAATAAGGTAAAATAAAGAAGCTAGATAAAAAAAAGTTAGGGGAGGTAAACATATGTTTACTTTTAGTTCATGTTCCAAGGCTTTTGTGTTTAACTCATCAACTTGTAGTTTGAATTCATGCTCTCGTTTTTTTAAATTGTCCTCAAAATCTGTTGATATATATCAGGGAATAGTACATCAAGTTAGCAGTATTATGGTGCATGTAAAAATAATTCTTTATAATAAAGGAGATTTATAAATCAAAGTTAGCTATGTCATATAGAAGTTAAAATTTCACATCTTAATTATATGGTATAATTTTGTTCAGAATAGATATGTGCATAATTTATACAAAATAAGTTTCCTACCAATGGTTAACTCCCTTTTCTGAATGTCCAGTTCATTTTGGACATTGGTCAGTTGTCTCTGTAAATTTCTCCTGAATTCTTCATACTCTTTTCTTTCATCAAGCAACTCTTTGTCTTTACAGCTGTGAAATTTTTACAAGTCAAAATCAATATATATATATATATATATATATATATATATATATATATATACTGCTTTCATAGTAATTTTGTATATTTAATCAAGTAAGGCGTAATATACAGTTGATCTTTTGAAAAATATGTTTGCCCAGAATACAAATTAATTCTAGATTTTTCGTCAAAAGCAACAGATGATATTGTATTAAACAAAAAAAAAACATTTCCCAAAAGATTGTTGTAAACAAGATAATTCCTGTGTGATTGAGATATAACAGCATTTCAAATATTAAAAATGACAATTCCTGGAAACCGCCTCAATGGTTTTACCTCTTATAATGATCCACTTCAGCTTGCTTCTCTCTCAGCCTTCTCTGATAATTAGCTTGAAGCTCATCTTTTGTCTTTTCCTCCCTCTTGATGACGTTTTTCAAGTCATCAAGATAAATCTTCAGCTCACTGATCTCAGCATTCTTTTCATTCAGCGTCATACGAATCTCTAAATAAATAAAAAGTCTAGTTTAATTTTTTAACTCTAGTAACTATCTTCATATATAACTTGAAAGGCTACATAAAATCACTGAATTAATAAATGATGCATAGAAACATGCAGTTTAATTATAACATTAATTAGTCTTTTTTTAATCTACATAGACATCTTATACAACTGATTCAATTTCTCTCTTATATACAGGTAATGATTTATACCAGGGGTCTCCAAACTTTTCAGGCCGAGGGCCGCATTAACTATCAAATTTCAGTTCGGGGGCCAACTTCTTCCAGGAATGTCTTTGATTTTTCTGGGCAAAGTTCCTCAGCCATCACCACCAAACGGTTTTTCCGTGGACAAAAAGATCTCCGCGGGCCGGATGAGAGGACATCGCGGGCCGCATCAGGCCCGCGGGCCGTAGTTTGGAGACCCCTGATTTATACATATGGATAAAGCAATGCTCTATACTAAGTAGGGGCAATATGATAAAGAAGTTGCCAACCACTAGTTCTGTGGACATCCAAAGACTTTTGCCTCCTCCCACTGAGCATAATACCATTTAGTTTAGATATGGCTAAGTGTGTGTGTGTGTGTGAGGGGGGGTTGGTTTGGTTGAGGGATGACCTATAGTATCGAGCCTGGGTTAGGAACTCTTGACATCTGAGGTCACAAGAAAATTCTGCTAGACCATAAAGTATGTTGACTGTAATGTAGAAATGTTTATACTATATGCCTATAGTTTACCTGAATAGGAGACATCATATTTTTCTAGTTCTCTGTCTCTGTCTTCCAACAGTTTGAGGTTGTATTTAAAATGCTCTTTCAGCTCATTAAACTTTTTTTTCTCTTCTTCCAACTCTTTATCTTTCAAGTGACAATTATTTTCTAACGCTTCAATTCTAAAACAGAAAATCAGTTTGTAAATTAGTAGGCTTAGGCCTATATGTAATGAATAATGATAGGAATAAACACATTTTTACACAAGGTAAATAAAAATTTCTAAGCTACCTTGATTCTAGAATTTGTCTCCATTCCTTTTCTTTTTCATCTGCTAATTTTTTCCATGAAGACGAGTCACCATGTGGCATTGTGATAACTTCTAACTGTTAGAGACAGTGAAAAGGTATAGATCTAGATCTACTTATAAAAAGATAAGAAAGACTATAAAAAATTTACAATAATCACTAGGAGGTCTGTTTGTTATTTATACACAATTTCACTATAATAAATAATGAAACATTGTGCTGTGGTTTATCTAAGCAAGAATTAGCTTAGGGCCTATTGTTTAGACTGGTAAATGGAATTCTTTCTTAGAATTTTTTTCTTGGTGTGTTTTTTTTTTTTACTGTACTGAGTACTGAAATAATTGAATGGGGTTATAAATCTATTACTGTTTGATAAAATGCAACAAAAATTGGAATCTTTTTTGTTAGGCCTAGATCTAGATTATCATTTTTATTAATTTTTTTTTGCAGAAATAAAAATATAGACTAGTTTTAAAAAATGGTAATCTATCGTTTTGGGTACGTAAAATCGCCCGCGGCTAATAATGTGGGAAAACGTTACCTCATTGTCAAGGCTTTAATAGACGTGTATTGTGATATGTTTGTGTCAAATATTATAGATAAATAAATAATAAACATTAATCAATGGCTAAATATATCAATATAGGCCAGAAATTAACTTTAAACAGCAGTGTCTGCGAGCAAAATTTGCTATCTAAACAGCAGCCATTTGTAAAATAGAGTGGCTTCCCCCTGAATCTCGTGCTATAAGTTTATAAAAATATTACTTAAACAAGATGGCTGCTATAGTAAATGAGCATGGTTGCATCTGTTGGAAACATCGCTAGTCTTCATTTATTACTGAGAAGTTTTAATTCAATTGTTTAAAAACAGGTATATGAATGAAACAAGGAAACATTTTTGTATCTTTTAAAACATAAATCCTCATCAACATGTGAAATAATTATTAAAATTTAAGGAGTCACCTGTTTTTCACATTACAAGTCGCGGGCAATTTTACGTACCTAAAACGATAGATTACCAAAAAAATTGGCTACTCAGAAGTTGAAATATTTTCAGAAATATTTTAAAAATTAAAATAAAATGACTAGGCTAATATTATAATTTTAATAGGCTTACTATCTATTAGTAATTGTACAAATACAAATCTGAAAATTACGATAATTTATAAATACGCATATTTAAACATGTTAATTGCTTTATGCTTAAAAAACAAGTTCATCAGTTTTCATTACGGTCACAAAACACGAATATTTAAAGTGCCGCCATATTGGCATCAGTGCTTGACAACTAGACTACTCTTTAACTTTAGAGATAAGAACAGTGTTAATAAGTTTGCCAGAAAAAAAGATGCAGACAAAAGTAACTTAGCACAACAGGACGAAGACCATATAAGTATGGTAATCAAAATACGTGAATTTCTATTGAAGCAAAAATGGTGTAACTTCCCTAATTAATCTCAGTTGATGTTTCCATGTTTAAATCATATATTTAATGTATCTTGTAGTTGCAAAATAATCTCTTTGAACAAATTAAAGCTTATTTCTACTTTTATATATTATAATTATCATATCTATATCATACGGACTCACTAGCTTTTTAGTTGGCTGTCAACCCCCGCCACCCCCACCACTCCTGTTCACTTAGCTACTTCACCTTATTATTTACTGTTTATTTAATGATCCTGTTAACGCCACAATTTTTTTTCTTGCATTGTTAAAGTTTTAGCCTAATTGAAATTTAATTTTTACTCCACGTAATCATTACATTATCAAACTTTAATTATTGACACTAAGTTTAAATGTTGCAACAGTTCGGTTATCCTTGAACTCAAAACTATGTCAGTGAAAAATAACCGCTCATTTAATTCCGAAGTTATTTCGCTGGCTCTTAAGAGGTACACCCGGAGGGGAAGGAAGGATCCCCAAAAGTCGACTTTTTGTGTACTAGGGGTGATGGGGGGGGGGGGGGGCAAGTCAATGTGGACGTCCACACGTTACATGAACATCAAAATATTTGTATGCTAAAGAAAAAAAGGTATTCTGGATATAATATGTATAAATTTAAAAAATACTTAAAAAAAACTTTTTAAAAAACCACGTTTTTCTTGTGGACTAAAAAGTAGAAAATAAATTTTTCTTTTGTGCTTCCTCGAGCTGTGCAGATTCTTGTGATGACTGACAAAAAACGTGGGTACGTTCACCATCAAATTTCCCGACCCATCTGCCCGACCCACGTTTTTTGTCAGTCATCACAAGAATCTGCACAGCTCGAGGAAGCACAAAAGAAAAATTTATTTTCTACTTTTTAGTCCACAAGAAAAACGTGTTTTTTTTAAAAGTTTTTTTTAAGTATTTTATTTTCTCCTTTTTAGTCCGTTGCTACACATGAAAAACGTGGTTTTTAAAAAAGTTTTTTATATAGTTTATTTTCTACTTTATCTAATGACTTTATTAAGTATGACTTGACTAAGTGTTTATAAATACACGGACTAAAAATCTTGAGCGACCAGGATTCGAACCTGGGTTGTCGCGGCCACAACGCGAAGTACTAACCACTATACGATCACGGCCAGCGCGCTCACATCGATTGGGGCCGAAGTAACTGTGTCAATAGGCCTCCAGTCTTGTCGGTATCTTTAGAAATCATGTCCTCAATTTTATGGTCCTTGGGGCGTAATTAAATTAAGCTAATTACGGTCTCTAATTGCTAGTTTTTATGATTGCATCTGAAATTGTTAGGCGAAAGTAGCCTGCATGCCAAATTTCAGATCTATAGAGCAATCAGAAGTGGGCTAATTTTCGATGTCAATTTTAACAACAAACATCCAAACAAACAAACAAACGCGAAGCTGAGTTAAGAAAAACGTGTTAAAATACAGTGTTTGTCTTTAATATAACACAAAACAGTCGGTCAGTGGCGTAGCTAGGGGAGGGCGGCATATCCGGGCGCCCACAGTATTGAGGCGCGTTAAAAGGGGAATAAAACTAAAAAGCTATGTTTAGAAGCATTGCTTAGCTATTAAAAAAAACCGCAGTTAATTAAGAAAATAGATACCCAATTGACTAATTAGAAACTGATTAAACTACTTTTGCCATCGATTATAAACAAGAAAATTAATCTTGTTTAAGCGTAGGTGGAGGGGGGGGGGGTCGCAAAATTGATAATTCTCCCCGGTCTTCGTAAGGGTCAATCTTTTTCTGTACCGGGTCATAAATCCGTGGTATCTAGTCAATGTTTATAAAAGTAATAGCTCTGTTGTTGGCAAGTAAGGAAGGAAACACAAGCAAATGGTCTACTAATATATCGGGGTCATGAACCCAACATGACTTTTTGATTTATTTTAATGCTGTATATAACTGCTGAAAATTATACTTATAAAACTTTTCTTTCCATTAAAAAATGTTTCACACCCTGAAACTAGATAAAATGTGAAAAAAAATTATTAAAAAATTATTTTAAAAAAAAAACAAGCGCTCATCATATAGATCTAGAGTAGATCAATTTCTCAATTTTTTCACAACACAGTTTATTTCCAGTAATATTTTATTTTGCGTCCGTCACAGATAAATGAGCGATAATCTCACACACATGTCTTTGGGCATCGCTAGTCTTGGAGCGGTCAGCACCGCGAACTGTCTTGGAGCAGCAGCATCACGAACTGTCTTGGAGCAGCAGCATCACGAACTGTCTTGGAGCAGCAGCATCACGAACTGTCTTGGAGCAGCAGCATCACGAACTGTCTTGGAGCAGCAGCATCACGAACTGTCTTGGAGCAGCAGCATCACGAACTGTCTTGGAGCAGCAGCATCACGAACTGTCTTGGAGCAGCAGCATCACGAACTGTCTTGGAGCAGCAGCATCACGAACTGTCTTGGAGCAGCAACATCACGAACTGTCTTAGAGCAGCAGCATCACGAGTCTTGTGTTGTCTGGAGCAGCAAACACGGTCTTTCAGTTCGCCTTCCAGCGCGGGAAAACATCTTTTGTTTCTGACGGCATCAAATCTCTTTCATCACCGAGAGGCTGGGGTCAAATACTGGATCACGTGGTGCCCCTGGCTTGTTGGGATGATAACCACTAACCACTTGACCGAGGTCATTGAAACAGATGAACTCTACTTCATCGTGTGCATGAACGGGAAAGGATGACAGATACCACCTATTAGATGAGATGAACTGAGCACAGTTCCTTATTAAATTTGTTTAATTAATTGATTGAAACAAGAGATAAATATAAATAAAAGACCCGTAGGAAAATGAATATTTTATAGTACACGAATTCAAGTCCTTGACACCAATTTAAAATTTTCTATTTGTAAACATTAATGGCCCAAACAAATTGTAAACCAAACTCAAAAGTGCCACAAGGATAGTTGTTAACTTTGCATCTTTGCGCTAACTTGAAGTAATGTACCCAACCCCCACACAAGCTATCACGTGTAATTAGACATGATTTAATTGAAGTCCGATTAAGTTAAAGAAAAATGATTGTGCCACAAACTCTCATCTTGGTCTGTTATGAGAATCTGTTGTAAAGTAGATTTTAGTGTATCACAACAATGCAGGAACGTAGTCGATTTTTTAAACTTTTAAACCCTTATTTTTTACGTCAAACGTTAAAGCTGATTGATCAATTTTATTTCATCTACACTTTTTAGACTTCTCTATTTAATTGTGTCGGCATAGCGTGTACTTTTAGCTTATATGATGGAAATGTCATGGTCAGAGTTTAGGGTGGGTGGGGTGGGGGGGGGGGGACAACAACCCGACCACGTCCACCGCCCCTCTGGGCAAAATAGAGAAAAAATTGTATAGAAAATATATACCTTAACGGTTAACCGGTATGCCCCCCCCCCCCCCTCGTAAATTGTAAAATGTAAAATGCGCTGTCTTGAATATTCTGTACCTAATCCACTTCAAAGTTGTCTGCTGCTGTCGTTAAAAACCCAGCCGTCGAGTTAATTGCTAATTATGCTTTGATTGTCTAGGAGGGTCGTGTTCAGACGGACGTAAGCATCATTAGAGTTGAGAAATAATTGGACGATAATACACGGTCAGACCTTGAACGGGGTAAACACCACACGGCAGTCAACAGACCCATTTAAACACAGCAAATAAATGTGGTATAATATTACTTATGGGGGAAGGTGGGGGAGTGATGATAAGTGAGGATGGGTGAAGGCGGGGGGGGGGGGGATAATATATAGATGACTATTGACATGAAGAGATAACATGACAAATGGTCTCATACTAAATATCTCACGGATAAATTATCTCACGGGAAAGAATATCAGATAAAAAACAGATGAACACCTTCTAACAGAAGAACACCTTCTAGGAACACCAACTAACCTTTTAGCAGTGCGGCTACACATGGGATGGGTGGTATATAGCTGCGTTTATAAATAACGTTTTATGTGGTTTTGATTACCTTGGCGTTTGAATTACAATTATGCCCCTATGACATTTCAATTAAATATATAACCATATAACTTAATTAAATAACCAAAAAATAACTTAAAAGCACGTGATTTAATTTATATTTTTAAAAATGTGTGTGGCTCCTATGCTCGCGTGGCATATCCATTGCTGGGGCCCTTACACACAAATTTCCCCCCCTCCGGTAGTTGTAAGGTCCCAAAATTCTGTGTTGCTTGTAATAGTTTACGTATTTCAAATTCAGAGAATTCTTCTCTAGTAAAAAATAGATGTAGCTTCTTTTATGGAAACCTAACTAATTTCAACAACAGATGGAATAACCTTGGAATATTTGTTTTTCTTTGACACAATCCACAAGACAACTTTGGGTAATTTCGGTTGACCAGAAGCAGCACTTTACGCTACTTCCGATTTCTCAAAAAACTCATAAATTTCTAAAGTATTAATATACCGCACTATTATACACTGTGGCGTAGGCCGACCCCTGCCGATGTAAAATCTGCTGTCCCTAGACTGACCCCTACCCATGTGGACCACGTTGAACTCTTCTAACCTCTCTACTGGTGCCGAGATGTTGCCTGGCTTCTCCCTTCTACCTTCCATCCTCACCATCCTCATCGGCCTCGTCATCTTCGCGGGCAACACCATCACCATCGTCGCCATCCAGACCACGCCCAGCATCCAGACTACACCGGACATGTACCTGGCGTCCTTGGCCTTTGCTGACCTCCTGGTCGGAGTCACGGCTGTCTCAAAGTTGTACACCTACATCAGGTGGGTTTAGAACAATACCACCCCTCCTGACGCTAAGCCTTCCATCTAGCAATATTTCATACCCTTTCCATAC